TCGGCTGAAGATATTTCAAACTGTCTTAAGCTATCGGTGTCTCAGATCATTTTTATCCGACATACCACATTAGCTCTTGAAATTTTTTTGCCACTCAAAACTTTTAGTTTCCAAAACGAACATCCCTAAATTTAATTCTCCAACCCAATCAAATCCGAAAATTCATTCCTCAACTCTCTCTCTCCCTCTAAAATACAAATTACAACTCTTATCATTATTTTCTTGATTTTGTTTCCTATGTTAAGGGATCACTTTCTATATTGAGACATTGACTGTTTCTCACACTCTCATCTTTCATGATTCTCTTTCCAACTAAGACACTCTCCCCAAAATTTTATCCTGTTGGTGCTGCTCTCCATATTTATTGTTCATATCAGACACACTCTTTCTCTCCCTCTGGTTTCCCTCTCTTTCTTGCCTATTTCTTTATCTAGCGACACCATGGAGCAACCCATCACCAACGACACCAAAGCCAACGCAAACAACATACCTACTATCCAGGTTCTAACTCCCTCTCTTTTCATCTCTATCTTTCTCCTCTCTTTCTCTCTTTGTCTTCATCTCTCTGATGCATGCACACACACACACACGCAGCACATAACACATGCACACAGACAACACACAATGCCATAACCACTTCTCATTCATTAACTTTCTCTTCTCCTAGGTCACAATCACCGCCCCAATCACACATGCACATGAAATGTTTGTTGAAATGCGTGAGAGTTCAAGATCTCCAAACCACCATCTTTTTTTTGTACTTTTTGATTTAATTTTGTTAATGCTTTTTTTCCCCACCTCTGACATCTTTTTGGTTGCATGAAATGATGTACATGTGGGGTATTGACAATTTTGTGATTATTGTTATTAGGGGTTTTCAATATTTTTCCCTTGCTCCAATTATAATTTTTTGGGTGTTCTGGTAGGGATTCTTGATGTTTTTTCTTTCCCTGCAGAAGGTAATGTTTTGGGGAATACGATTGATGCATTGGCCATAGAACCTTGATAAAACCATTCTCAATCCCATCCCTATCTATTCTCAATCATTCCAAAATCCATCATCAACGAAAAAACGGGACCACTCTCTCACAATTAATTTTCTCAAGTTTGCAAGGTACATCCATGTAGTTTGATTGTGCTCTTATAATGGTTTGATTTATGATTTTTTTGGTTTGATTGAGGTTAAATTAGAGCTTTGATGTTCTGTTACATCTTTGATAATGTAGAAATTGATAAAAAAAAAAAATAGTCCTCAAGAATAGTGGCCTGAACAAGAGTCATTTGCTTTTATCTCGGTCAAAATTGGAAGTTTTTTTTGCCACTAAGATAATTCTCTGTATTTTGTTAATTTTCTAATTGTGAAAGTTTTTGAAAATCTTTCATATAAAAGATAGGTTTTTGTATGATGATATGATTTTCTAAAGCAATAATGCTCTCCCTCTCTTGAACTTCTTATAAAGTTTAAAATCAGGTTTAAGTATATCACCTTGATATTATTTGGTGCAAATCAAATAGTTTTTGTGAGATATTTATGAAAGGTTTTATCATGGGGGTCTTTATTTCTGTTATGCACCTGAATATTTTTCAATTTTGGTGGATCAAATTTTAATTGTTGATCTATGTTTTTTTTTCCATGCAAGTTTTTTTTAACGACTTTTATTTTGATAATTCTTCGTTTCATCGTGTTGGTCTCAGGGCAATTGTACGTTTCGACACAACTCATCAGTTGTTATTGGGCAATATGTTTTATATATGAAATGATTTGAACTTTTTATTGTTCTGCTTTGGTGAAGAAAGAAAAAAAAACTTTCATTTATACTGGTAAGTTTAGCCCATGATAATCATAACTTCTTTTTTGTTTGATGCAATTTTAGAGCTATAGAGATGGTAAGATTTGAAGTTCTATACAAGTATATATAGGTAGATCACAACTTGGTACACTAATATGAATCCACAAACAGTATGTGTATGTGTACGTGAGATTGTTAATAGGAGTTTGTTATTTTTTCAGATGAGAGATTCTTTATCAGTGTGAACAATTTGTATTAAATGGCACTACAGATTTTGAAGTGGAATTTGGTGGTGCTACAGCTTTAAGGTGAATTGGATAGTCATGTGGCAGACTCCTTATTTAGTTGAAAGTTTAAATCAATTTAGAGCAGATTAATTATGATTGTTTTTATGGTTATTTGGTATGGTCCTTTGATAAGTTTAATTGTGTTCTTTTTTTGTAAAATTTGAAATCCAATTACCATAGCAAACATACTTTAAATTCTAGATGTTAGTTTAGGTTAGCATTTTATTTTCTTTTAAATGTTTTATGACTTTTGCCATTTGATATTTAAAGGTCAATTGTACCAAATATCTTGGTTTATTTAAATTTTGTTTTGTAGGGTTCATATTGATATACAAAAAACATCAACGTTGAGCACGATCAATTAATTGCAATTTCTTTGTTTATTAGATAGTGACTTCAGACACGGGCAATTGCTAGTATATTTATATAATAAAATATGCAAGTGTTTGAAATTTTATCTCCTACATATTTTCTCCCAAAATCATTCTATCACTCATTTTTATCACATGTTTAATCATTTAATATTTGATTAATTGATAATTTAACATAATTTTTATTTCAGACATTATCCATTTACGATAGTATATACATATTGAAAAAATTTGTTAGATTACGTATTTTTGTCGATATTTTTAAAAAAAATAATGGGTAAAAATAAATTTGAAATTATATAATCAAATAAAAGAAGAAAAAAAATATTATTATTTAATATAGTGAGATCGATTTTTTAGACATCGAATTTTATATTTTACTAGTATTAAATATTACATATGTGTTATTTCATACACATGCTTTTTCTATGTAACTGTTCAATACTATAATTCATAGGAATTATAAATATACATAGATCATTATGACTAAGTACACATTTTTTAACAAACAAATCCGTACATTTGTTTGCCTCTCTCATCTCTTCCTTGACCTGCACTTTTTTGAATACAATATAGTGTTTCATTATTATTTTTATATTCTTCTTATTAATTTATTTTGCATGTTCTTCATTAAAATTGTAGTATTATACAATCAACTATCAGTATACATTCATAATTTCTTGTTATATTGTTATTGAATTATTTTATCAAGTTCAAAAAAAAAATCTTACAAAAAATTATTTTATTATTTTTTAATTTTTTTATATGATCCTTTACTTGTTTATGTATGCAACATTCACCTACTATTTTGTTATGTTTTATTTTCTCTATTAACAACTTTTATTGAAAGTTTTTTTATATTAATTATTTTTTGTTATGGATCTTTTATGAAAATAAGCAATTTAATTAGTTGGGTTTTTTTGTTTAAATAAAAACAAAATCGATTTTAAGAGAAGTAGAAAATGTGTTTGATTTATTTTTATTTGTGAAAGAGAGAAATACTTATTATATTTTTTTTATCAAAATGTTAACCCTTTTTTGTCCTTTAATAAATGTGTCTGTGTGAGGTGTACTACACTTTTAGACGTAAATTTTAAATTTTATTTTGTTGACGTAATCTTTCAAGAGTTTTTTTGTTATGTTAAATTATAATGGGTTTTAATTTTTGATCTACACTTTATTATTAAACTCTAAAATTTCGAACATTTTTTATATGTCGGGCCTAAAACCCATGGGTGTGTTTGGGTAATGGAGTTGGAGAGGGTAGAATATCTTTTTTTATATCCTAACTCATCCACTTTAAAATCCTAATCTTGAAATATATCCAATCCTGCCATTTGTTTGGGAAACAAATGTGTAATTTAGTGGGCTCTATAGATTACACAAATAATTTTGTAATAGTTTACCATTCTACCCATAACTCTATCCGTTCCAATCCTAACCTATGTTTGGATTAATAGATTATCCTCATAAAATTATAAAGTTTCCATGTATACATAAAAACATATAAAAATAAAATAATAATTTTTATTTGTTAGAAAAGTTCATAGTTTTTTTTTTGTATTTTTTTCCAAACAAATCAATACTTTATTTCATTTTTAAAAAAATTGATTACAATGGAGAAAGGCAAACAACCTTGCCTTAAAACAATAATATGATAAAGGAACCAAAACAATGAAAATATAAAAGCAATCTCCAAGACTTGACTTTTTCTCAACATAATCCTTGCTCTCAAGCTCTTGATTCGAATTCAACCCAACTAAAGCTTGATCTTCAATCGTTTTTTTTTTCCAAACAAATCAACACTTTATTCCATGTTTCAAAAAATTATAAGAGGCAAACCAACACTTATCAATCATATGGAAATACAAAGAATCAAAGAATGACTATTTTTTTCCTAAGCACTCTGGTTCCTTGCTGGTTATGCAACAGCAGCATCTTCGCTTGTAGAGGAATGCACAAATCCTAGGAGAAATCAGTAGAGAAGCCATTCTGCACAGCCAAGTTCGCAAAAAAGTTTGCCAAACCATTCGCCTCTTTATAAACATGAACCAAACAAAAGTTCATTTTGCCAAGCAGCTCTAAATTTTGCTTCAAAAGCTCCCAGAATTTCCAAGCCCTTAGATGCCCCTTAAGCACCATGACCACAAAATCAGCTTCTATTGAAGCTGATAACCTGTTAAGTCAATTCACCCACAGAGCTCTAACCTGGACCTTGCAACAATACTCCACACCCAAAGCCATCAGAACTGCCTTCCCCTTTTCATTCTTAGGAACTCTTGGCTTGAAACACTTTACATGTAACCTCAAAACAAAACAATTTTTCAAGAAAATTGAGTGAGCAGAGAAATGGCTTTATGGACATATTCAATCCAAGCATGTGTTTGGATTTCATATATTAACTAATCCCCACATCAAATTTATACATAAAATACACATTAATGTATGCTATTATTGTAATATAGTCCCCAAATTGTGAATAAAAAAAATAAAATTCAATACTAAACCCAAGATTTTGACGAAACCCACCCCAATCTAGGGCATGTTCTTCCTCACTCTCTCTGCCCCTCTCTTTCTCCATTCTTCAATTCTTCCTAAATTGATTGCAACAAATGTATATTTAGACACACTAAAACTATAAAATAGATTGAGAAAAGAATATTCAAGGTTGGATAGATATATATATGATCACTGATCACACACACATGCGCATATATAGACTGATGTTGTAACATCTAACTAACATTCATCACAAGAAACAAAATCAAACAGAGGAGAGTGAAGATACTGAAAAAAAAACCCAACATTTCGATAAATTAATGCAATTTATTAAAACCCAGTAACCTTCACAAACAGAGGAGAGTCCGGATCAACACCTAAATATCTCCTATACTCCAAAGCATTTCCTGGAGTCCATTTGTATAGCTTCGGAACTCGCCAAAGACGAACGAAGGTAGAAGTTCTACAAAGACGGGATGGGACGATGCAGATCTGGGTGTACCTCATCAACCACATCTGCTCGTCATTCCAGCAATTCGTCTGCTTTGACGAGTTGTTCGACGAATGGGACGATCGGGTTCCTTGGGTAAGGTGTGTAGGAACATTATCTACAAAAAGAAAAAGAGGGGTAAACATGTTTTTTTTGACTCTACTGTTGAGTCGGCCTTGCCTCCTCCTAGACCGCTTCTTGCACTTCCACCTGCGCCGCTACTTGCACCTCCTCCTACTATAGGGAAGGTTATAGTATGTATATGTCAAATTATATATAGACAAATAATATATATTTTAACACATATAATTAATTTTGTATTCACATTTTTCTCAATTTTTGAAGGATTGATTTTGATGAATTAGAAGAAAAATTAATTTTTTTTTTTTTTGCTATTTTTCTTCTTTATTAAATATAATATTTTATATATTCCTCCATCGTTCCATCTTTCTATTGTTTTATCGTACTAATCAAAACATAAAACTTTTTACTACTTTCTTTTCCTCTTTCGTTTGTTTCTGTTGGAGAATACACGAAGAATAATGATCTGGTGGCTCGTGTTAAGTTTAAGGAAATAAAAATCACAACTTTTCGTTTATGGTTGATTGGTTCTATAAAGAAATGAAACAATGAGAAATTATAACTTGCTTTCCATGTCCTTAGGTTTTGCTTGTGTTTTTTGGCTTCCAAAACAGGGTAATTCAATTGGTTTTGTGTATCGTTCAGCAGCAAGAATTTAGCTTTTTGTTTAGATCTACATCTTTTCCTTTTTCCCTTGAATTTGTAGTAGAAAATTGTAATTTTTGGCTACAGTCCTTTAATAGGGGTAGAGACCATGCTCACTGTTCCCTCGACACAAGTTCAAAAAGACATGATTTTTTTTTTTTTTTGGGGGGGGGGGGGTCAAACTATTGCATGGAGAGGAGGAATTCCAAGCGACACCCTTCTACTGCCCAAATGATGATGAGAGTAGGAAAAAAATGGATACTTTGATTGGGATTAGCTTTTTTTCTAGTTGTCTAAGCTATAAACGTCATGAGCATAGTGTAGTGCGTAGGGATGGAATCGAAATTTGTGAACTTGATTCTAACTTATTTCTAACTCGACTTGTTTAAAAAATAAGTCAAACTCAAATTTAGGTCTAATTCGAATAACTTGATTATTTTATATATAAATAAGTTAAATTATCACTGAATTGAGTGGTCCATTAAGGTACCGGTCGAATTTCTTATCCTAAGGTTGAAAATTAGAGTCTTTTAATCGTTATGCTAGTCTAAGTAAATTCGTTTCTGAGAGGAATAACAGATACGGTCAAAAATCACATGATCCCACTAGTAAGGAGCTATCATGGTGGTCTCCTTTGTCTCCACCCATTTTTATTCAATAAAAAAAAATTGAATTTTACGAGTTCGAATCGAAACTTTTAAATAAATTTAAAAAATGGTTCAAATTCAATTCTTATAAAACCCGATTTAAACTTGAGTGAGTGTTATTTAAATCGAGCCCATGTACTTTATCTCAATTAACCCCTCCAACAGTAACACGCGCCCAACACCATTTTTGGTGGTTGTGTCTGGCTGTTTATGTAGCATCGTAGCTGAAGAATTTCTTTCGGCAAGTACCCCTCCTTACTCCTGAGATCCACTCGGTTTCTGTATTATTGACATGCCGAACAAAAGGCATCCGAGGGAGTGCCACGTGGATGCTCTTAAATTTTACACGTGTCAGTTCCTCACTGGACACATTGGATTGCCCCCGGGCATAGAGACAGAAATACTAGTCTGAGGCTGCTGGCTCCGATTAAGATTGAGTAACGCTAGATTGATTTAAAAATTAAATTTTATAATTTTAACTATTGAATAGGTAATGAGTCCTAATAAGTACTGGGATTCACAGAGAAATCAATAGTTATAATTATCAAGTCTGATTTTTAAATCTATGTAACATTACCCATTAAGATTTAAGGGAAACTTTAGATTTAGATCTAATATTTGTTTAACCAAGACACACACAATCTAGACCGATGATTCAGTCTTATGCAGGCAAAGATCTTTTGATATTAAAATCAGTTATAGTTTTAAAAATAAATTAAAAAAATAGTAATTTTTGACAATCTAAAGAGCCTCGACCTTTCAACTACCCACATGTGTTCTCCCTTCAAAAGTCTCTTTTATTTAATACATTGTCTCAATTATTTAAAAATTAATATAATTGCCCTTGATTTTTTATTTTTTTTGCAAGTAAGTTGGTGACTTATGTATATAATAAAGTAGTTTACAATTCAAATTTCAAAAGATAGACAACATAACTTTTGTTATTCGCGGTTGAGATCGTTTTAAATTTTATTTTAAAGTTAATCTAACGGCTAATATTAATACCCTAGATTTAATATGAAAAATAGACTCCTAAAGGTGTGTTTGGAGTGACTTTTTAAAAGTACTTTTAGAAATTATTTCTTATAAATACTTTAAAAATAAATAGTGTTTGAAACCGCCCCACTACTACGTCTATCACCACTGCCCCTACCTCCACCGCCACCCACACCACCGTCACCACTGTCTCCACCATTGCCACGCCCACTACCACCGTTATCACCACCATCGTTGTCGTCACCAAAACCATCACTGTCGGTCACCACCCCTCACCTCCACTATAAATCAATGTTTAAATTCTTTTATCTCTTCTCTATAATTATGATTTGATTTTGAATATAAATACAAATATATTTTCTAACTTTTTTTAAAAAACTAATTTGTATTTGTTCTTTTTCAAATAACTAATTCGAGCCTTATGTGTCACAACATGATTTTGTCACACACTCTCTCTTGTTGTATATATTGAAAATTTTAGCATAAAATCAATTGTTGACAATTTTTAAAATTTGAGAAAACGTTATATTTTGCTTTGGTATATTATTAATATTAGTTTTATGCATGCTTTTTGAAGGGTCTACCTATCCTTGTTGATGGTGGCTAGACCATGTCTTTATCGCTCTTCACCATATATATAAACCACTGTTCTATAGTCCACGTAGTGTGGTTGGTCATAGTTTCTATTGTTTGCACGTTTGCCATGACTGTCCTCCACGTTATGCGGAGACAGCTTCTCCTCCATCAACAATAATGGAGAAAACTATATATGTGCCCTTTTGTTTTTTGGGTCAGGTAGTTGATTCCTTTGATTAGGGATGAGAGTGGATAGGAGAGTAGTCTTCGTTCCGTGCCCCGCTTTAAAAATATATGCACACCCTTGGTCGCGAGAGAAATTTATTCCCTGTATCCATTATGCGGATAAATTTTGATTCTCATCCTTGTCCCCGTCTCCGCCTCCACTATCGTCCCTACTTATAACAATTAATTTTTATAATTTTAAGAAAAAAATTTTAAAAAAAAATCATAAAACCTCACAAATAGATTTGCAAGATGGATGAAAATTATTATTCTATAACAAGGGACAGGATCAAACATAAAAAGTTACAAAAATAATATGTATAACAAATGTATGTTTCACTTAATTATATCAGTTCATCTCCGTATGAATTTATACAAGTATCCCCATATATATTTACCATCCAATATATATAGTCCACTCCAATTCAAACAGGACAGATTAAATAAATACTATTTTTTCTCGGTCCACTGCCATTCCCAATCATGAGCAGTATGACAATAGTATTTTCTATATTTAGATTAGTTGCATTTCTCATCCACCAACTTTCATCCAATTCTCACTTTAGTCCTTGGAATTTAAGCAATGTTACAAAATTCAAATGAAACTTAAAAAATTATAACTCAATACATATCCTTTCTTGAATGAGTGAATTCCATCAATTTTTTCAGTAAGATCTCCTCATCTCACAGTCATCCAAATAATGATATGCATTTAAGTTTTATTTTTTGAATTTCATTTAAGTAATTTGACATTTTTCTTGGAACATTCTTCTTTTAAAATTCTCATTTACCAGAAATGATTTCGGATCTCAACCAATTACGATGCTAGAAGTGATCTATAGAGGGAGATGAGCGAGTAGCCAATTGACACATGTCTCGGGATAAGCTTACATTGAAGCTACTAAACTCTAGGAACCCAATACAACAACGCGACTCCATTGATATTCTTGCTAATAGCGAAAAGTTCAACGCACTGATTCACATTAATTAGTAGGACTCGTTCTAGGTTCTTTTGTCTGGGTTCTTGGGGTTATGTGGTTTGTATTGAAAACTTCTACTCTCATAGATCAAGTCAGCATCATGAAGCTCAAATATGATCAAGTCCGTAAGCAAATAGATGAAAATTTCTTGTCATTATCCTTGAATTCGGACTTTCAAGACAGTGCCATTGTTTTTCTGTGATTATCTTCACAACTTTGACTCTTTCAATTTTATCTTTAAATCTATCCAATAAGCTTATGCCCGCCTTTAAATTCTTGGAAAAAAATTGAGGGAAGGTCTAATTTTGTAAATTATTGAATGGGCAGGTGAACGTCACCGTCTACCTTAATTTCATCGTTACTGATAAAGATAATGGTATTATTGTGAAAACAAAACTATATATTTTTATGTTTTCGACATTTATTCCGATGTATTCTGATATTTAGTAAACGCCGTCATTTTACAATATGCTCTTTTTTTTTTTAGTGATTTGTGTCATATATATTTAGATTTGTATCAATTTTTTTATTTATGACTAATCAATAGTTCATAATTCAAAGTAGTTAAAAATTAATAACTCATACAAAACTTATAAACTGTGAGCTCAATGCACATTAATTTTAGATGAATACAGTAACTCTAAACCATGTATATTGCAGTAAGTGAAATAATGCAAACTGGCAGTACTTTGGGTATTATGAAAAATACTATTTCAACTTAAAATACTGACTTTTTAAAAAAAAAATTCAAAAAAAAAAAAAAACTTAAAAAAGTGACATGACAGATTATAATCATTAGGTAGACAATGAGTTCTAATAAATATTAAAATTTATAATTAAATCAATGACAGTGATTGATCAAATCAACAATCAAATCAACATTTTAAATTTATGTAATATTGCTCGGGTATTATATCGTTCGAGTTTTTTTGTGGGGCTATACTCAAAGAATCAACGGTGAATGTTTTGGTACGGCTAGGGAATATGTACACCTCTACTGTATGGTATTGTAGATGGTGGATAAACCATTTATTGCAAAGATTTGAAGTGTAATTAGGCCACTAATGATGAGATCAATGAGCAAGCACACGTCAAATGTCAAAAGGTAGAAGGTATCCTTTGCTAAGTCGTGTTCACACCTACTTTGATTGCCAAGATTCCAATTACCACCCTTTTCACACCTAGATGTATGTTAATTAGATGGCTCTCCTACAATCCGGCTTCGTCGGCTGTTCCTTTGGCTTCGACTATTGGTATGGTCATCCGTTGCCGGTGTAATATCAAATTGTATTTAAATTACATAAAAATTTATTTCATATGAATTTTTTAGATTCGGTATAGATGGTCTTTTTTTAATTGATTTGAAGAGAAATTTAGTTAAAATATACATAAATTAATTCAAATAATACAAATGATGCAGCGCATTAGCCGAGCAAGGCGCCGCCGCCGCCAAATATATCCTCGAGCTGACACCAACAAGATGAGGTGAAACCGTCTACATCCGCCACGTAGGACCAGGTAGGACACCCATCTCATCCCAACACCTCTCTCTCTCTCTCTCCTATAAACATCACAACCCTCCTCCATTTCCAAAACCTTGCTCACCATTAAACCACAGCATAAACAAGTTATTTTTCTTTTCAAAGCACAAACATATGGGAAATTGTATCAGAAAAGAATCCCCCATGCAATGGGCCGGGGAAGATTGGGGATCTCCGGCGACACAAACTCTCTTTTCCGACGACACAAGTGATCTTGATCTTGACAATGGCAAGCGCATGAAGTTAGAAGAAGAGAGACTATTAGAAAACAAGAAAGAAGGTTTCTCCTCTTCGTCTACAACGGCAGCGACAGAGGTGAAGATCAAGATCTCTAAGAAGCAGTTGGATAAACTATTAGGTAGCTCCGACGTACGACGGCTGTCGGGGGAGCAGCTAATAGCTCAGTTGATGTCGATGAACGTCAGCCATGGACATGGTACGCGTCAACGGTCGTGGAGGCCTAACTTGCAAAGCATACCTGAGATCGATTTGAGTTGATCTGCACGTAGGGATGTTAATTAACGAATGTATACTAGTGCAGGTTTGTCTAACTAGGATGTCTCGACTCTATAAATAATCTTGCTTTACGTTGTAAGATTACGTACATAGATCTGATCTTTTTTTGATAGATTCGTACACTAAGTACGTATTTTTATTATATGAATGTAGTTTGGATGATTCTTTTATGTTTTTATTTTAGATTTTTTTTTTTTATTTTGGACCATGTACATAGAAAATTGGTTTTGTAACGGGTTCTAATGATTTAATAATCGAATCGAGTCCCTTGTAAATTATTTTAACTTGTATCCTTCATTTGCAAGAAGTGTTTGTGATCAGCTCAGGACCCGGACGATCTTCAAACATGTTTATTAAGCTTAGTGGAGAGCAACAAAAGTCCATAGACCGTCTAATCGACACCAACAAGTAAGTTCGGTTTACTTATAGTTTTTCAACTTAAATTCAGTTTGTTTTATAAAACGAATTGAGCAAAAAAAATGTTTTTGAACTTGAACTCAAGTTAATTCTTATATAATTTATTTTTGTATGCAAGTGCAATTCTTTCATAATAAACGAATATTTTTATTTTGGTCAATCGTAAGTATTTATAAAAAAAGGTCATTCATTTGGAACGTAAAAATCAGTTGGGCAAGATCTGTTCAAAGAAAAATAAATGATTGTGATGCTTGTTGGTGACCATTAGATTTATACACAATTATTGAATTCACACGAATTTTAATATTTGTTAGAACTAACAAATTAATGATGAATTAAGTGGAGGAAAAATTTCATTTTGTTTTTCAAAAGATATAAAAATTATCAGTTTGTCTCCCAAATGATTAAAGTTTTTACATTACCCCCTCAAATAAATAAAAATATTATAATGTAGTCCATTGTTTAAATTTTCATTTGGTTGTCCATTTATTTTGTGTCAAATTAACCAATCACAAATTATAAAAGAGATAGAGAACCAAATTAAAATAAGACGGTAAACCACATAACTATATTTTTATTTCTTTGAAGGGACAATGTGAAAAATTTATCATTTAGGTGACAAACTAAAATTTTTGTATCAATAAATTTATTAAATAAATATTATTAAATTTAAATTATGGTTTAATATATAAATGCTAGGGGAGGTATGTATTTTTTTAGCAAAACTCATGCATGTAATTAGGAGTGGTAATTGAGACGAATTACTCGGGTTCTGCTCACAAAAAACTCGGCTAAAACTCGACTCGTATTCTAAATGAGTTGAGTTTAAATAATTTTTTAAATTTGTTTAAAAAAATGAAAATAAGTCTTAAAAGTTTGAATTAAGTTCACAAAACTTAGCTCATTTATGTATAAAATAGTCGAGTTAATTGCATTTGACTCGACTTTGGCTCTGTTCAAATTCTAAATAAGTCGAGTTTGAACAATCTTTTAGACACGTTTAAAAAATTAAAGTCGTCAACTTGAATTCAAACTCATAACATTTGACTTCATTAACTCCTCTACGTATAATGTAATTATAGCTTGAACAAAAATTGGCAAGGACCGACGTGGGGGCTAATGGGCAGCGCAATTTGTGGGTCTCTCATCGTTGGAAATGGTGTGGCCCGCAATGGCTCCCATGAAACTATATCCGTTCGGCCCTCAATTGATCCGCCCCGAATCTCTATTTTTCGTATGGGATTAATCGTGTCAGATTAAATGATTAAGGTAAATAAGTGACGGATTAAAAATATATAAATTTATATACAACATATTTAATAAATAAATAAAAAATTTAAACACAAATACAAACTATTTAATAAATAAATACCATAGCACAATTCGTTAAAACATGTAAAATACAATTTGACAAGTTTTATATGAATACAATCTGTTTACTAAATGGGTTTAATATGTTTATTCATTTTTCACTCAAATTCGCTTAATTCGTGTGTCAGCATAATCGCGCCGTTGGTTTCTCTCGATATGGTTTTGGCGCAAAATAGTAAAAATCCTCTCTCTAATTTTCTTGCAATTCCCTCCATTATTTTGAACACAAGTTCTCTCTCTCTCTCTCTCGCTCTACATTTTCATGGCAAATTTTGAGCCTCCGTCATTCTCTCTAGGGCTCGATTTGGACTTCGATTTTGATGTATCAACCACGCTAAGAGAAGACTTTAGACCCCAACAAGCTCGACAATCCTCAACCGCTACTGCTCTCCCTACGATCGAAGAAGATGACAACGATTTTCAGTCGCCGATGGTGGGTTCCGACCCGCAAGTTTCGGATCCACCTCGGAGCTATAAGCGGCTTCGCCGTGGGTCTACTTCTCAGCCCACACCGAATGTACGGAAGCGGGAGTCAGTGGACTCGTGTAAGGTTGATGATGATATCGAAGAGTTCTCCTCTCAGGAGGATCGGCATAGAGGTAAAATCAGAGAGTTGTATAGTGTTTGGTTTGTTTAACCCTATTTGTTTTGGGAAAAAGAATGAAGCATACAAATTTGAAACTCTATGTATCCTAAACAATGCTTGTTACCTTAGAAAGCTTGAAGCTTGGATCGAATTGGGGAGATTTTTTTTCCCTTAGTTTTTGGGAAATGTAGGTGACCCTAAAGCTTTTTGTTACTTTCTTTTCCTCTTTCGTTTGTTTCTGTTGGAGAATACATGAAGAATAATGCTCTGGTGGCTCGTGTTAAGTTTAAGGAAATGAAAATTAAAACTTTTCGTTAATGGTTGATTGGTTCTATAAAGAAATGAAATAATGAGCCCAATTGGGGTTTATAAACTTATGGGGGTTTTTCACTTAGAAAGAAGAAATTATAACTAAGCTTTCCATGTGCTTAGGTTTTGCTTGTGTTTATTGGTTTCCAATTGGTTTTGTGTATCGCTCAGCAGCAAGAATTAGGCTTTTCGTTTAGATCTACATCTTTTTCTTTTTCCCTCGAATTTGTAGTCGAATATTGTAATTTTGGCTACAGTACACACTTGTGCAGAATAGGACTACCTAGTTAATTCATGACTGAGTTGTTAAAACGAAGATCAAAATGCATTTCATGCCAGAAAAGTTAAATAAAGATTTGGGATGTTTTAGTTTTTACCATTGAATTTATTAGGGATTGAGAATTTGAACTATTAAGATGCCAGTAGGGCCTATTTGGTTAAGGATATGTCTAGCAAGAAGCCTTTCTACATAAATTTAAGTCTAGTAATTCGTTTTCTAGTTACTTGGACCAGTAACTTGTGAATGGGTGTGTCCGGTTTTAACTTGCCTGATTTTGACACGCATTTCATTAAGAGTTTTCTTTTGGAATATTGCTACATGAGCTTGAAATACTATCTTTGGCTGAAAAAAAAAATGAGGGCAACATGGTAAAAGACGTGCAATATTGACACCCTCTCCCGTTTCCTTCTTGTCAAACAACTATTTGGATTCTAGCTTAGAAATATGCTCAGATGATGTAAGTTATCCGAGGTTGCAACCGGCATAGTCTAGCATAACTTAGAGCATTTGCTAATCTATGTCTTGGTCAATCTTTGCTTATGGATAACAATTTGTGCCTAGATCCTGATTACTTGTGTGAGTTAGTTATAGTACACCGATCTTGATGGCTCATTCTACTCTACTCCTATGTTAAATGCATTAGTAAGATCTCAGGCAGAGTTGCACCATTAATGTTCAGTGGGTGCTAATAAATTCACTAAGTGCTATCTTTGAACTGATACTTTCCAATTCAAAAAAATCAAAAGAACTGGTTTCTTTCCTTTTGCATGTCTGAGCATTTTCTCTTTCCCTTCACAAGTATATGATATACGACTATCCATTTGTTGCTTCATATTAAAAATTTCTTTTCATTGGCATTGGCTTCTTTTTGCAAGATACTTCCATTATATGAGACCATTGTTTTTGGACTTCCTTTGACAGCATTAATTTTTATTTCGGCACATCTAGTCTGATATGTCTGCAGTAGAATGATATTCGCATAATTCTCATTGGCGAATTATTTGCTCCTCAGTATCTGTGTTCAATAAACATCTGTTCTGTATCCACTCCTAATTGTATTCTATTGGCAGACAACCTGCAGCAACACAGTATCACTCTATGCATAGCACTTCAAAGTTCTCGCTGCGTGGACTTGGGGTTTTGACCAAGGAACCAGCCTGCCAGAGGAAAAAGACTACAAAGAAACATTTTTCAGATCCCCAAGTTTCTGTAAATATGGAAGCTGGCAGCAACAAAATGATGTTTCCAAAGTTGACTGTCAGTCCTCTTAGAAGGTTCCAGTTGATTGATTCTGATTCTGATTCTGATTTTGGTGATCCTTGTTTCAGTGAAGGTGCAAACAGAGGGACTAATAAATTAGACTCATCTTTGAAGGAGAGACCATCATCTAATTCTGGCCAACGTGCAGCTTCCATAGAACAGTGGAAAACAAAAGAATCAGTGAGCATGGCCTGTACAGAAGATTTATGGAAAGATTTCTGTTCAGAGAAGGGATTTCACATTCCAACACCTGCTTTGGATGAGGTCTGTGAAGAATATTTTAGATCCGTGAAAGATAAGAATGTAGCTAAGAATAGCAATAAAGGTTGTCATGAAAATAGCAATGTCAGGAAAAATGATGAGCAGCAATGGGATGTGGGTAACGCTTCTGTTCATCGTTATTTTTTCCATGATGACCCAAGAATCCAAAAACTGGTTCGCAGTCGCTTACCCAACTTTTTCCCCGTGGGTGCTGTAAACAACAGAGGATATAAGCCACCTGATGCATCAGTGATTGATTACATGTAATGCATTCACATTCATTGCGGCATATTTATAGTATTTTCTTTTTTTATTTCCACTTTACCTTTCCTTTTAGGGCAATGTACATTTTTTTTTTTTTTGTGTTATCAGGGGTCAATTTGGCAATGGAGAGGGTTCTAAGCAAGCCGATGGGAAACATAATTCCGAGGTAGGGTCAAGGAGGAGCAGAAACAATTCAAAGAAGTCAAAGGCTGAAGAGTTACCACAAGGTTCTGGAAGCTGGATGAATCCTAAACGCTGCACTGAGATTCCAAAAGATGCTGGCAAAAGAAGGGTTCATGCAGTGGGTCAATCTGCTGGTCATTGGTACACTGGTCCAGATGGGAAGAGGGTTAGTTGGAGTGCTTTTTGACTGTCTCATTTTCTTTTTATAATCTTACAGTATCTTTGAGTTGTTTTATGCATTGATCTGAAACATCAAGGTAACAGTCTGTAGCATGTCAACAACCTGCAAAGTGGCTATCGATGCTATCAGGACAATAGTCCCCCGGGGGGTGGGGGCGGCTGAGGTTTTTGCGAAGCTTTATTTTTGGTTTTCCCTTTTCATGAGAATCAAGAGATTATGTTCATTCTGGTGTTGAGCTGTATACCAGGCAATTATGATTGTTAGCAGAAAAGTCTTTTGCTTACTAATTAGATCCATCTAGTATACATATACTGAATGTTGAATGTACGGTATGTAGGTATGAGTACCTTTTTTTAACTTATCTTAGATTTTTTAATACACCAATTAAATAGAACAAGAATTTCGGAAATTAAATTGATTTTTGATTAGTAACCTTACTCTGGTTTATGCATGTCCCCCTTCTTCTGTACAACTTTCACTGCTAATCCACTTACTGATCTTTCAGGTTTACGTCAACAAGAGTGGGCAGGAATTGACAGGTCAAATTGCTTACAGACATTACAGAAAGGTACTCTCTTATGATGTCTTTTTATGCTTCCCATAATGACTAGTTATTTATATGAATGTCAAACTCCTCGTTTTTGTTAATGTTGATTTGATGGTAAGATTTAGGCACCAACAATTACTTGGTTCTTCTTGATACAGTTTATCTTTTGATCAATTACTGTGTTTTTGTTCTAGATATTTTACTGCTGTTTCTTTTCCATCATTGGTAAATTAATTAGCAAATACCAGAGAATTGCTTTTGTGCATTGCAGACAAGTATCATTATTTTTATACAACCATCAATGACAGATTTTATTCTACTTTGTACAAACAATCTGTTCTGTGGATGGAGTATTTTTAGTGCAAGCACTCTTCTGGGGGGGGGGGGGGGGGGTCATGTGATTGAATAGAAATTGTTTAAACTTAGTTGACCTGTCATAAATATGACTTGTAAGTATCGATTTTTTTTTCTGATAGTTTCTTATAATGTTTATTTTTGCTGGCAGGAGAGTGGAGCAGGATTTAAAAGATCGAAAAAGAAAACTGCTGCCAAGAAGAAAAGAAAATAAGAATGTGCACGATGTTGAAATGATGCGTGTTGAAATTGGATCTTAATTCTGAGGTTCAGATTGAAAAAGAAACCACCACAAACGTATTAGGTAGAAAGAAAACTTATATGTAGAGCATCAAAATTCAGATGTTTGCTGCTCTGAATATTATATGGAAAACTTATATGTTTTTAAAATTTCCAAGTATTTAGTTGATTACCTTCAATGTTGTTTGCTTTGCTTCACGGCTCAATTTTGTACGACAGTTCACAAATTCTTGTTAGAATTGCAACACTATGGAAAAGAAGAGAAGGAATATTGTCCTCCACGACACGCTTGTATCTGAACAGAGTTTTTCTGAGACGTCGAGACATTTAGAAATCAAGCCTTTGCAAATGTTTTTCTTGTTGTGTACCCAATTTTTTTTTTTAATTGAATTTTTAGGGTTTGTCAATTGCCGCGATGGGATGTCTTGTTTTGGATGGATTACAATCCACTAGATTTGAGCTAACTTTGATAAAACGTGAGATGTTTGTGTTTATTTTCTTGAGAGAGATGATGTATGAGATTTCTAGTCGGTGGTGGAGACAGTTTTGGTCTTCCCTTTTGGAATAGAGGCACAATGCAATAGTGAACTAGGAGTTCTTGCTGAATTCACATCAGACATTGCCAACATTGACACAAATGAAAGATTGAATTACTTATAGAAACAAAATGAAACACTTCTATTTTCGGACAAGAAAAAAGATAAAAAGCAAAAGTGAAAAGAAGTTTAAATCTTGTTTTGAAGTTAACCTAGATCTTTGGGCCCAGCCCATGAGTCATCATCAAGAAAATATATTTACTCTTGAGTCCATTTTGTTTTAAATTGTCTAAATTACCTTCTCAGTAGTTATATTTAATTAAAATAAATTTAAAAATAATAACTCCTAAATTTTAAGAGTTTGAATAACATTAAAATTTTATTTCTTATATTTATCTATATCTATATATAAATCATGACTCTCTCTCTCTCACACACACACACATACATGTATAGTAATATTGAAAATAAAAAATAATAATATTAAATAATAATATTTTAAGAAATAAAAGTAATAACATACTTAACAAAAATAGTAACATGATTAACAAAAAAATAGTAATATTAAAAAATAAAAAAATAATAACCTTCAAAACAAAAAATAGTAACATTTAAACACAAAAAATACTTTTATTTAAAAATTAAAAATTATAACATTGAATATTAATATTTATAAAATATAACAGTAGTAACATACTCAATAAAATAGTAACATGCACAATAAAAAAAATAGTAACATGATCAACAAAATAACTAGCCTCCTGAGCATCTCTCTCTTTTTCTTTGAATGCAACTTTGTGCTACCAGCTCACTCCAAAATCCTTATATGAATAATTTTTAGAATTTGCAAAGCAAAATATGTAAATTTTTCCTTATTCTTTCTTATATTTTTTGTCTCGAAGAGTATAATTTTCAAGTACATATATCCTTGGTCCATATATAGAATAAATTTTTATTATTAAACACTTTATTTATGATATATGTACTGATATTGATGACTTCATTTTATTTTTAGAATTGATTTTTTTTTAAAAAAATTTAAAATTAAAACTAACATTCGAATTGAAATGCTAAACAACATAAAAAGACTAATTTTTTTTTTTTTAATATATGCATTGCTTATAAAATTTTGTTAACAATAGTTGGTTCAACGGAAATGAGCTTTTTAAAATTTAAATATATAAAATCTTATTTACAACTAATTATGTCATAAGAAAAATTGAATAGATTAATTATGATCTATTGAAAAAAAATTTATTGACAAAATTTAAATATAAAAACTTGATCAATATTTTTTGTATTTCAAAAATAATTAAATTAATAAATATTAAGTTATGTTAATTAAAAAAATATTTAATATATTAATATTAATAGGGTCCGGGTAAAATTTTTGCCTAGGGTTCTCGTTTAGGTTTAGGGGTTATGTGTTGTGTGCATATGAGAAAATTTGTTAAATTTAACAACAAATTTGAATAGAAGAAAAATATTGACACAAATATTATAATTTAATTGCTACATTGACAAAAAAAACGTAATTCAACAACAATGGCTACCATTTGGCAACCATATGTTTGTGTTTTTTTTTTTTTTTGATTTTTTTTTTCACTTTTTACAAAAAAAAAAAATAATAATAATAATAATATGTTTGAAGAGTACAATCCCAAATTTTAAATACATAAAAATAAGTGTTTTTAAAAACACGCAAAAACAGAAACACACGCCTACCTCGAAACCAATTAATGAAGTCTAACCTTCCAACTCCACTGATAGAAAAAAAAAAGAAGGGGTTTTTCTTACTCCAGCTATAAAAGTAGGATTTATTCCTTTTTACCTCTTCTCTCTCTCGTTCATCGCTTTGGTTCATCTCTCTCGTTCTTTCTCACGATGCCAGTGACTAAGGCAGGAGCTCTCAGATCTCACAAGGTCAAATCTTAGAGCTCTCAGAGCTTTGGTTCATCTCTCTCGTTCCTTTTTACTTTTGTTTGCTGTCCAGTGCTTCGGAAAAATAGTCACAAGACATCCAGGATCAATTGACCATTTACACTTTCAGCTTTAGCTTGTCAACTGATAGTTGTAAAAGGCACTCTTTACCTGTTTTCTACTTGTTCTTAGAGCTAATATTTATTTTTTCTTGCAGGGTTTTGTGCACCTGGCATTGCAATCACGACGCCCAATTGTTCCAATCGTCTTGACAGGCACCCATCTAGCATGGAGAAAGGGCAGCTTTCATCTTCGGGCAGCGCCGCTAACTGTAAAATATCTTCCTCCAATAAGAACTGATGATTGGACTGCAGATAAGATTGAGGACTACGTGAAAATGGTACATGATGTTTATGTCAAAAACCTCCCAAAATCGCAAAGGCCTGCTGTAATAGAAGGAGCTGGTTTTAGTTCATAGTTGAAGTACTTAAAATTAGTCATTCTTTTTAGTTGAATGAATCTGTAACATCTTACAAGGTTCAATGTGAAGAAGCATGATTGTAGTTTAAGCATTGAGATTACCTCAGCTATTGATGTTTCAATGCTGCCAAATTTCATGCAATAAAAATTCAAAGTTGCGTTAATCGTGTATGCTTCTAAATTGCAACTTCATTTCTCTTAAATATGAGATTGGCTTTATATGATCCACCCTGGAATAGTTTTTGCTTCCCCCACCTTCTAAAATCTTAGATGAGAAGAAAAGAGAGGGGACGGTTAGGGAGCATTCTCTGTTTTTGTTATCAAAGTTTGTTGAAGCCTAGTAGAGACTTAACACTGAAAAATACAGATTGAAGATGCCATTGCATTAGATGTAAAAGAAAATAAAGGAAATGTCAGCTGACATATCAAAGTAGATTGAATACCCAATGAAAATGAAAATGTTATGTGCTTTTAATTTTAGAGTAATGCTACAAAAGCCAAATGAAATCCCAAAAAATGTCAACCCAAATGTATATCATCTATTTGATGAGTGGGTCTCATGGCTCATCAACTTTTTTAGTGAGACCCGCTCATCCAACACTTATTCAAGGGATGATATGCATTTGACTTTTAATTTTTTGGTTCCATTTGGGTTGTGTAGCATTTTTCATAATTTTATGTATTTGATTTGATTTATTTGAATGTTAAGCTAATTACTAGGAGGTTATGTAGGGAGTGAGTTAGTGATATAGTTTTAATAGGTTTTTTAGGTAGTTATGTAGGTAGTGTTTCTTTTAGTATTATATCTTTGTATTTAAAGACGTTAATGAAGTCGATCAAAAAAAATACGTAATATGGCTCATTTATATATTAATTATATACGATATAAACCCGATATAACATAATTTTTTAGATATGAATCAAAAATAAGTGGAATATTTTTTAAGACAAACTTACTAAGATTCAATACAAATTTGTCTCACTTGATATGTGGGGCCGGCCCACCACCCACAGTAAGAAAAGCTGCAAGCAATGTTGTACATCTCATTGCATGATAATCATGGGTGGGTTAGGAGCGGGGCGGAGATGGTATAATCCAATTATCAATAAGTCTTTAATTTAATAGTACTTGCGAAGATTTTGTCTTCTTGAAATATTAAAAGCAACCCAAAGTATGTAAGACTTGATCATATATTTAAAATCTAGTGCATGCTTACTCATTGGATTTGACCTAATGGTCCCACTTTATTGAACTTTTTTATTTATCTTAAAAATTCAACTTTTTATATATTTATTGAACTTTTTGGGATAATCACACTTTGGACTGCAAAAGTTTTTTTGTATAATTAAAGTGTTGTAATGTGACAATTCTATTAATTTTTATTACTCATTTTGTAATAAAATTACTACATTAACGTTGACAAAATGGGCAATGAAAAACTAACAAAATAGTCACATTATAATATTTTTTATAAATTGATAATATAATATAAAAAATATAATCTTTTATGATAAAAATTAAGAATTTTTAAATCTTTTAAGGTATAAAATGCAATTTATCCTTATTTTTAAGAGGGCCAATGGATCGACTCACTTTAATCGGGTTTGGACTTAACTGGCAAAACCAATGAGGGGCCATGGCCCATCTCCCCCACTCCATGTCACAGGCCTGTCACGTGATCATCTATCTAAGCACACGTGTCACCCTTTTCGCACCACCTGGTCCATGAGAATCCAATTAATTGAGAACCTCGTCGATTTCTTCGCCCCATATTTATTAAAAAAAAAAAAAATAAAGGGTTAATTATTTTTTATTTTTCAATTATTGGCTTAAGATTTAAAATTATGTATATTACTTCTTTATAATTATAGTTATGTACCAAAGTAAAATAATTATATTTATTATTTAAGTTAACGGAGAGTGTGCTATTTACGCCCAAAACATATTCTAGGTTTTGTGTCCATTGTTTCTTAAAAAAAATATTGTCAAAATATTTAAAATACTCTTTATAATATATGATATTTTTTTTACAATATATGATATAATACCCAAATAAATAGGAAATCGGTCTCAAGTAAACAAAAAAACATGCAAGAAAAATATAAATAATTTTCGCCCTGAAACAAAACTTTACTTGAGGAAAAAAGATATTTTATATATTTGATTGAAATGTATTAGTTTGTTATCATATTTTATTAATTTTATTGTTAAGAATAAATTAAAAAAATTTAATTTTAAAACATGAGTATTGTGATAATTTTTTAATTTTATTAACGACGCTAATTACTTCATTTCACTTAGATACATAATTATAAAAAGATTAATTACATAATTTTAAACGTTAAATAGAAAAGTATTTTTAGGCGAAATTACACGGGTAAAAAGCAATTAACACAAAAATAAATATAAAAACAGAATCATTAAAGTCCAAACCCAAACCCTCTTGATTATAAAGCCTTAATCTCTCTCTCTCTCTCTCTGTCGCTCTCTCGGCGGGGAAACAACAAATCTAGGGTTTTAAATTGCTTTCTCGGTTCAGTTTACACTTATCTTTAATGCTCCAAATCCTCTCCAACACTCTCCAAAGGTACGATCTTACTCAATCACTAGCTTCAAAATGCTTCTCGTGCTCTTGATTTTTACGCTACGCAAAAGGAAAGAGAATAAATAAATAAATACGGTAAGTAATAATAAAATACAGTGATTATTTCTTGAATGTTTGGCAAATACTTGAAACTAGGGTTTTTGATTGGGTAAATATGACTATTTTTTTTATTTTGCTATCCGTTTTTGTTACGAAAGTTGTGGTCTTTTACTCGTATTTATAGCTTGTGAGGGTTTTGTTTGCTGCAATTGCATGTCTGTCTGACCTTTGTTAATCATTGCATAATGTGGAATGGTTTAGTATTCGATCGTTTCAGTGCAATGTTTTATGTGGTGTGGATAAGTATGAAAGTTATGTTGTGTGATTAACGAGCAAACACAATTTTCTTTCCCTCTTCCTTGCTTCCACTTTCCTTCCTCCAAATTGTTAGGGGGAACTATTTCATGGAACAAAATTGAGATTGTGAGGGTGCAGTGATGAAATTGAGGCTGATGATGGGTGGGTTAATTAGTCCAGTGTATTTGATCGCTTTAGGTATGCACTTAGATGTTGCCTTTTTAAGTTTGGTGATTCTGCAAATGGTAAGTAAATAATTTCAAGCCCATTTGCTAGTAATCCTTTTTAATGCGCATTGATGATCCATTCTACTAGTATGGGGAAGGAATCACTATGTGGGTCATGAGACTCGACCCCAGATTATAACGGAGGGTGGGCAGCTACTTCACACTCCTCAAACAATCCTGCTTTGCATGCGGGCCTGTTAACACTGTGATCAATTCAGTACTTATATGGACTTGAAAGTTCCAGTTGAGCACATGACATGAGTGTGTTTACGATCCAAGCTAGATGTGAATTCAAAGTTACTTGGGGACTATGATGTAACGAACAGCAGTGCTTATGATTCAAAGTTCTGGATTCATGGTCTATTCTGAATCTGAGGTGATTCTTTTGTAGCCATGTATGATGTAGTGATATAAGAATCAGGTGCAGACACGGTTTCCTAGAGGTAAATGGCAGAAAGCTAAGATACATGTCATGCCATTGGTGTTTTGCTGCGAGTTCATTTTTTTTTTTTCACTTGCAAAAGGAACGTATCAATTTGTATATTCAAGCAAAACTACTAAAGCTTTTATTTTTTCTCTTTCTTCCAAAAAAATAAATTCTCTGTGAGTTTATGAGTTTGCTCGTAAGGGCATCTCCAATAGGCTCTTTATTCCCCCTCAATTATCTATTTGGAGAGCCAACCACAAAAAATCAAGTTCCAATAGGCTCTCTATTTAGACTACCTATGACCCAACATTTGGAGAGTCCAACTCACACTCTATTCTACTTTTAATGAAAAGATGACACATACACATTCTTCGTTAAATTTTATTTATTATAAATCTATTTTGTTATTAGAATAGAGAGTGCATTGGAGTTGTTTAAAAATTTTCACTCTATTTCAAATTTTTATGATAGATGCTCTCTATTTAAAAGATACTCACAAAAAATCTCGTAATACCAGTGTAAAACCTGTTATAGGTGAAGTAGTATATGTGTGTAATGCTCTAGTACTAGAAACATGTGTTGCATTGAAATCCATCATTTTTGTATTAGTTCTATTTGTAATATAAGTAAAGACTGCCTTTCTTTTGACAGGGTTTATGAACCATAAAAATTTTGCTGTGAGGGCAGAAGATTTTGCAACAGTTTCTGAAGATGAATCAAACAAACCAGGGGGACAACCTTGATACCCCACCAGCTGTACCTGTGAAGCGAAAACGGGGTCGCCCGAGGAAGGATCCGAGTCTAAAACAAATCAAAACTGCCCCTGTGACACCTGGATTTGGAGGGGTGAATGTAAATCAACCCAGTCAAGTAGATCGAGTTGATGAGACAAAAAGCGGCTTGGTGGGCCAGGCGGTTACAGGTGTTGTTGAGGCAGCATTTGATGCTGGTTATTTCCTCACTGTTAGGCTTGGCAACTCCAATACCAGTCTGAGGGGTGTTGTTTTCAAGCCAGGACATTATGTTCCTGTCACAGAAGAAAATGATGTGGCCCCGCATGTTCAGATGATCGGAAGAAATCATGTTCATCTCCCTGCAAGAAATCACACACAGGTGCGTGGCTATAACAAGCGATCTAGAGAGAGGGCTGAACAGAATGGTTCACCACCTGCAAATCAGTTGCATAGAGTTGCACCTCTAACAGCTAATCTGGTGGTCTCAAAAGGCAAATATGCGTCTCCAGCGGCAGCCTCCTCTGTCCCTCCAGTGGGTGCAAGAGGCACCGTAGTTCCAGTTGTACTCCAACCAATCAATCGTTCAAATGGATTACCGCCTGCCAACCAAGTTCCTCAGGATGCATCCCAGGCTGCACATATGGCAGCTTTAAGAGACAAATATGTGCAGACAGTTGCACCCTTAGCTGTTCTACCCCCTAATGCATCAATACCCAAAAACCAGGTGCTGGCAGTCACAATTGAAGAGCTGCCCTCAAAACCTCAAATAAGCCACCAAGTGACACCAGAAAGCATGCAAAATGAGAATGGTTCCTTTAAGCAAGGCACACTAGAGCTCCCACAAGGAGAAGCAGCCAGTTCATTGAAATCAGCTGCCAAGCCAGATGAAGTTTATAAGGTGGTTTCACAGTCATCAGAAACACATGTCGAAGACAGTAAGATTGCTTTTAAATTATCAGGAGAAGATGTTCTTGCTGGCCCAGTCCAAGAGATTGGTGACATGAATGAGCCTCTCTCAATTGGGCCCCTGCAAGCTGTATACTTTGATCAGAATCAGTCTGCATCTGTTTCCAGACCTTTGGAGAATAGAAGAACTGGCAGAATGACTGAGCTTTTGCTGGTAAAATGAAATTCAAACCCAAAATAACAATCATTATGTAATATTGCACCTATATTTTCCAGCTACACAAACTGAAATTGAACTCTATGTGAAGGCCTTGCAGGAAAATATGACAGAGAACCAGGTCCGTCAGTTTGAACATTTGGCCCCAGAAACTGGAGAGCCCAGAAGCTGATCTTGGAGACGAAGAAACACGTTGTCACAGTAATGTTATGCTATCAGTGATCCCCTTGTTTTGGGTATGTATAGCATCCATGTAGTGTCTTTCCTACTTCCCAAGCTGTGCGAGCGAGCTTTCTTGTGGGATCTGACACCTTTGAAGATTTGGGGACGACAAGGGGGATCATTGGTCTGTTTAACAAGAAGTCCTACAACAACTAGTGTTGCTGTAAATTTTTCTGACATTTGGTTTTCCAAGTTTCAGATTAAGTACTAATCAAATGTGGGCTTTATGGCGCTGAGCTTTTTGGTCATAGTTACATGTTTGTGTTTTGAGAGTTCCAGATGCATTCCGCTTACTGCCTGAGCATATTTCTGGCGCAGTGGTGGACATTCATTTGCGGTGGTTGGATCGAATACAAGGATGATCAGTTTATACCACCAGGTGACATGGGGAAACATCGCCACCTCAGGCTTGCCGCTTACACTAACCAACCTTACTAGTCACAGAAGAGGTTCACAGGTTGGTTCCGTTAGATATATTACCCCCAGGACCCAGCGTGGGGATTCAGCATGCCATGGGGTAGTGGTGGGTTATATTGAGGCCCTTTAATGGAGCGAATTTAAATTTGATTAATCGGATATAAATTAATATTTTTTGTTAACAATTTGAATTTGATATCTTATATTTCATGGATTTAGATTTTGATATATTTATATCTAATTTGATTTAAATCATTTATCTATATAATATAATAGTTTACAATTCAAATCTTAAAAGATAAACAAAATGATTTTTGTTATTTGCCGTTAAGATCGCCTTAAATTTTATTTTAAAATTAATCTAACGGTTAATATTAATACCCTAAATTTAATAGGAAAAATAAGCCTCTAAGGGTGTGTTTGGAGTGATTTTTTAAAAATTATTTATCATAAATATTTTTTTAAAAATAGTGTTTGAAAGCGTTTTACCACTATCTCTACCACCACCACCATTGCCACTGCCACCATCATCACTATCACCACCACTGTCACTACCACCACTACTGCCACCAACGCCCTTGCCACCACCACCACCTTTTACCATTGCCACCATCACTATTGCCACCGCCGCAACCATTGTCGCCGCTACTACAACCACCGCTACCACTGTCACCACCATCGCCACAACCACCACCATTTCTCACCTTCACTATAAATCGATGCTTAAATTCATTTATCTCTTCTCTATGTTTGTAATTTAATTTTGAATATGAATGTAAATATATTTAATATTTACAATTTTTTATTACTCTGTATCTTCAGGCACAGTCAATAACTAATATATTTATATAACAATATGTCTAGTGCAAAACACATTTTTTTTTAATGTATGTGTTAATTTACTCTGATTAAAAGTAAAATTTAAATGACTAGTTAAAAGATTAAAAAATTTAAATTTAAACGAGTTATTATAATTAAAAAGTTCAAAAATTAAAATTTAATTGAATTATTGTCGTTAAAAATTAAAATATTAAATCATAATATAAACTATCAAATCTAAATAATCTAAATCATTATTGTGTTTTTTTAAGTGAAGAATTCAAACAACTCAAGCAAGAATCTTTGTTTTATTATTATAAAAAAATATTTAAATAATTATTTCATAAAATATAGTTGAAATTTATGTATAATTATTAAATTTTAGTTAACTAAGTTATTCTAATCAAATTAATTATTGAATCAAAATTTGAAATTGTTAACGGATCCACATATTGACCACAAAAATAAAAATCATCAAACTTTCAGACCTAATTCAAATTGAATCTTTAAAATCAAATTCAAATTCAAATTCAAATCAGCCAAAATTCAATCCATTGACCTAATTATACTACGGCAATCTTCATGTCATCATCTGGAGTTTTTGAGATCCGTCTGAGTTCGCCACAATCTATTGAATAGGTTGAACCTGAATTTTAATCCGAGTTTTATAACCCCCAAGTTAATAAGTTGGAATTCAAGCCAAGAATTGAAACTAGTGACGAATACTGAAATCAGCCAAACTCAGCCCACAGCACCCAAGAATAAAAAATTCTTTGAACTGGCACAGCACAGCACAGCAAAATTAAGACACCAAACAATTTCAAAAGCAGGCATGGGAGGGGAGAGCCACACGAAAGAAGAATAATGAGAAAACTGTAAAATACAGGCATCAAAATTAAACCATAGCAATTCAGATTCCATGATTTAAATAAGACATCATAATTTAGATGGAAAAGTGTACTTCAATATCCTCAGCATCGCCTCAGACAAACTCGAGAAATTCCACCATAGCATAGCATAGCAAAGCAAAGAAAAGAACAATTTCATATATAGACCACAAACGGATTACTTAGTGTGTGTACCAAATCCACAACCGCACAAGATTATACTACATCCAAGAACTGGAGACATCGACTGGAAGCGAGTGAAACTCACAACAGCCCTCATGCTTCCCAGACGACAACAGATCACTGCAAACACAAAGATACTATGAGCAATATACTACAGCAGAGAAGCATATGAATTGGAAACATACAGAGGAAACAAAAGTAGAAACTTTTTTGTCTAAGCTGGCTGCTGCACCAAGAGAAATATTACGAAAGCAGGTTTACCAACAGTTGTATCTCCTAGAAATGTAATGAGTAGACACTATAAATACATGTCAGAGACAGCTTGACTTCGAATTTACACTGACTGGCTAAAAGCCAACTACATAGGAAGAAAATAATCAATGCGGTAGCCAAAAAAAAAAAGAAAGAGTCATTCAGATTTGCACGTTGCAGTGATGTCCACTTTCCACAATACTTGAAATCTAAATACCACACAACTACACGAACTAACGTCAATCAGATTGCGCAAAATGCAGCCAGTATTACCCAAGCAAACTCTTGATGCCAGGTTTTATCACTTTCTACTAAGGACAGATACGAATACGGGTTACAAGTATAATACGAAACTAACATGGCTATACAGCTAAAACCTAAAAAATATGATACAAGTATGACCAGGGTACAAAGAATATTTTTGTGTTTTTATTATTATCCTTTTTTTAATAAGAATAGGTTTATTATTATCCTTTGAGTTATTAATATTATTTTTCAGATTTTTTTTTAATAAAAAATAGACAAATAGACTATGTTTTACTTTTAAAAAGCATGTACTGTCTCATCCGGGTAAACCACAAAATAAATGTTATTAATTAAAGAAACTAGAAACAACATTTAACCGGCTAGTCTGCTTAGAAGTATAATAGTTGTGGCCCATTTTATTTCCGTTCAACATCAGGCTGTAAATAACACTAAAGAAACAATCCCTTATCTTCAAAGCCATATGGAGGTTTCAATGGTATATTGGTGTTGGATGCCCATATCTAAGACGTAATTTGAAATAACAAAAATATTTAATATTATGGGACAAGTGTGTGGCTGTAGCTTCAAACATCAATGTGACACTGATACGTTGACCTAAAAGGAGAATCCATGCCTTGTAATCACTTCTATGAGTAATCCACATATGAACAGATAAATCCTAACTGATCCATAAGCAACATTATATCCATGCGTTATCCCTAGATTAAATCAGTATGTGCATGCTAAGGGTATTATGTAACTCATCCAGTTGTTAAACACCCTTTGTAACTTGTCAGGTTATGTCATCATGAACCAAGAACTCTGGGAAGGAGCACAAGCTTGTTAAATTATCTTACCTGCTGCGGCTGTTGGTAATTCCCATATCCAGGATAGCCACCTCCAAAGTACATATTTGGGTCTTGGGGAGGTGGGGCATATCCATATGCTTCGTACCCTTGTGTGTATCCATAATACCCACCATTCCACGGAGTCTGATCCGGCTGAGCCTAAGACCAATCCAAGAGTCAAAATACAGTATAGAACATGTGTTAATGCACAAATTACTACAATACATTGTGATATATTTAAACCTGTTTGGTTGAGGGACTTCGGCCCCATGAGAGTCGGATATTTTGTCCACCTAATACAGACCCATTCAAACTTGATAAGGCTTGCTCAGCACAAGCTCTACAACACAACATATGCAAGCAACAGAAGATTAAGAAAGTCCAGTCAGTAAAAAACTTTCAAAAACTCATATGAAAGCTGTGTTTCCTGACCTGGTAGCAAATTGAACAAACCCACAACGCTTTCCCACTGGTATTTTCACGTGAACCAATTCACCATATTGGCCAAATACTTGCCTCAAATGGTCATCCGTAACATTGGGGTCCAAACCACCAACAAATATCTGAAATTGCAAATTAAGGAGTAAATAGCATAGAGAAGACCAAAAATAGTTCCAACATACAAGACAAACTACCCACTGTTGTATTATTTGGATCACTCTCGCCCTGATTTCCTTGAGGATTCTGGTAGGAAGCTGCAAATGACAAATGAATGTGAAAAAAAAAGTAGGATAAACAATGATAAGCCAAAGGTGTTATTCAGGATACATAAATGGATGCCTATAATAAGAGTTTGAGAAGCTCGATCCAATCTTATGCTCTAACAGGCACAACAAACAACATGCCTGATCACACAACTGACATAAGATATGAGAGTGGGATCCGGGTTCGGCAAGGTTGAGGCATCAGCAACAACCTACCGTTCCAAATCATCAACTGAACTAAAATAACATCGAGTTCTTCAATTTTCCATGGTACAAAAAAGGGAAGATACAAACACAGCAAGAATATGTAAAACAGCATATGAAAGCTGCAATTGCAATGCAAAGTCAATTCACTCAAATCAATATAAAGGGAACAGGTGAAAAAATTTTAAGTGAGGCATTGCTTGTCCATTGCTCCTCAAATATTAAAAACCTCCCATCACTCCAAAAATGTAAAGGACTCTTATTTCTAAACAGTACAGAAGCTACACCCCAGGGTGTTCAAAACTTTAGATAGCAATATTTCACAACACTACCACATAGCATTTGCTTAGTAGAATATAAGAAAATACTAGCTCAAGCCTACTTGATTTCCACAATCGTACAACACCCAGAAAATTAATGGCTACCAGAACTTGCAATAAGTGTTTGATGTTGAGACTGCCTGACAAAGTTCAGAAACAGAGGTTCAGTGATGAACCACTGCCCTAGGCAGTTCCACTAATAAACGAGACAAAGTTGCTTACTTTATATATTACTCCTCTTGATCAGCATGACTAAACTAACTTTCACACTACGTAAAGGCATAAAAATATAAGCACATTCCACTTGGATCTATACATGAGATAGCATGCTTTTATTAAAAAATATTCTTGCTTTCACAGTTGACATTTTTGTTCTTTTCCTCTTATGGTTAGATCGAAGGTGTTTAATAATTGATTCTCGGCCAACAGACATTCAAACAGATTCTCGGCTGACGAACATTCAAACCAATTCCCTCATTAATTTTTTTCCATGTTATTTTAAAAGTTAAAAGTAGATGCCTAAAGGTCATCTTATGTAATACATGACTACACGTTTGACACCTATGAAGCACCGATCTATATGCTACCTATGAATATCGTTAGATGGGAACAATAAGAATCACCATAAGTACAAACCTTAGCTCATCACTTTCTTTGACGCATTTTGACTGAGAAACTAATTCCAGCAAAATCTACATGAAACTCATATTGTGGATATAGTGGAAGTTGGATATTCGAATGTTACATACAATTTGACAACATAAAGACGTACTTAGGGTAAAAATCTTATTTGGCCCCTAAACTTTACAGAAAGTTTCAATCAAACCCTTTATCTTTATTTTGTCTCAGTTAAGACCTCCAACTATCTAAAAGTTTCAATGCAGCCATTCTGCTTAATTTCTTCAAAAAACCTATCAGAAATATGCACGTGTCTCACTTGACTGGGTTAGTGGGGGTATTTTAGGCAACCCATAAAGGTTAAAATCATTTTGGTCCCTAAACTTTGCACCTAATTTCAATTAAGCCCTTAAAACTTTATTTTGTCTCAATTTCGTTCTCTAACTCCAACTATAGTCCTTCCATAAAAACCTCGTAACAAATTTGCATCTAATGTGCATGACTATGGCAAGTAATTAGAACCAACAAAAAAGGATGCAAAAGTTCTTCCAAGAACTCATGTACTTGCACATGGGCTAGAACCAACCATGACTCTTTACAAAATATGCAATTAATGTTTTTTTTATTATAAACACAACATACATGAGATGCACATTTACTTGTTGATGGACTTGAATAGAAGGAGACCATTTGAACCTTACAGGTAAATGAAAGACTAAAATGAGACAAAATAAAAGATTAAGGACTTAATTGAAACTATGCGCAAAATTTAAGGACCCAATTTGATTCTAATATTTTTATTTGTTGCCCAAAATACCCTTACTAATTCAGTCACGTGATATGCACATGCTTTTTCTATTAAGATTTTTGACGGTGTTAGAAAGAAGGGCTACATTGAAACTTTTCGACTAGTTGGCGGGCTTAATTGAGACAAAATACAGATTAAGGGTTCGATTGAAACTACGTGCAAAGTGAAGGGGCAAAATATGATTTTTACCAGACGTACTTATGGCCCAACTAACATAGAGGAAATAAAACACTAGCCGAAAACTGTGCACACCTTATTGATATATAAAAAGTAAATCAACACAGTTATGAAACAGAAGTAAGAATATTTTAAACATGAATAATACTTAATTGCACCAATTTACATTTTTGCTCCACAATGCAAGACTTGCAAGTCATGGACGATGTAAGGAAGGCATAACATCGCAACAATAAGCCATTTTTTGACAAGTATAGAAAGGTGCCCAATGTAAACACTTAACATGATGTATACAAAACAAGCCCCAATACATGGACAAGTAGGCTCTAAAGAGAAGAGCCAAACAATCTACAAAAGAAACATCACAACCATAAGCATTTGCTCCCAAATGGAGACATCCTTGTAAAAAGGAAAAGCAATTTCCAATTATGAAGAACAAACTCGAAAACGAAAGAACACATTTACAAGACGTCATTGAAAAACACGTACAGGCTGTTCTAAAAAGGGGTAAACAAAGCTAAAGGCAATATGCAAAACTGAAGCAATTGACGCTAAATTTATTTACCAGCATTTTGTGTAAAGATGTAAAGTGGAAATTTGAGAGACAGTCACATATGACGCAGAAAAATTGACCAGCTTGACTCAACAACAGTTTGTGAAGGAACTGAACCATTATTAGATAAATAAGGGTCCTGGTGGATTTACATGAACTCGAAAACAACAGAGAAGGAATTCGTAAACTTCGGGAAAAAACTTAATTGACTGATAACTTCAAATGTAAGGAACTGGAAAGCAATTGAATGTAGCATAAGAAATGCCACAAGAAAATGAAGTAAGGAAGCTTATGACAAAAACAAAATACCTGACCTAAAAGGAGGCCACGGACTAAAGTGGAATCATTTCAGCCGAAATCAGTTCCAGGCCCCCATAATGAGAGCCTCTCTGTTTGTCCTGCTTTGAGACAAGATGAGTTTTATAAGTTTTTGCAAGTTTTAACACAATTAAACGTGCCCAAGTTTATCAAGTTAAGTACTGGAAGGAAATGACTCTGTAAATTCCGCGAATCTTCATGTGGATAACTGAAATGGCACTGAAACTTAAAAATTTATTAACAATAATTCCTAAGAGAGTACCAACTACCAACAAGAATCTATTGCTTCAAGCAATGAAAACTTAAAAATAGTGAGAGACCACATAGAAAAAACATAGAAAGCTCAAGAAAACTAATAACTAAATAAAATATGTCAGTATATTTTCTCATAAAGCACCATTAAGGCTTAAAGGAATCCTGTGACTGCAATGCATACCTTTCTGATATTGCTGCTGTCCCCCCCCGGGTTTCTTGGTAGCAGCAGGCCCAATTCGCATGGGCCTACTTGAACAGTATACCCCATTCATTTCAGTCATAGCGCGCATTTGTTCACCCTCATCTCCAAATCTAACAAAGCCATAACCCTTGGAACGTCCAGTGTTTCTATCTGTGACAACTTTTGCACCCTTCACCGATGTGTACACAGATTTGAAAGTTTCTTGCAGCACATAATCTGTGACATCAGCAGACAAATCTCCAACAAATATTGTGTAGTCTGCAGTGTCGTCTGCACGTCTCTCCCCAGCACCAAGGGTAGCCCAGTTCAGCCGGAAATTCTGTTGAGCATTTGGCATCGGGGTGCCATTATAAGTCTGTAAAACAATTTCTGCTGCTGCACGAGTCCTGAACTCAAGGAATCCGTAACCCTCAGATTCATAAGTCTGCTTGTTACGAATAACCTTCACTGAAAGAATCTGAAAAACAGCATTTACCAGTACTGAAAAATGAAAAGAACAGCCAAAAAGGAAGAAAATAAAAGTAATACGAATAACAAGTAATACAACATCTACTTAAAAGAGGCAGGGTATACCCTCAATACAAAAATAAATAATTAAAACAATTCCATATCAACAATTCAAGGGAAGTCAGCTGAGTAGTTTTATTGGAATAGTAATTTTATTACCTTAAAATCTATATTAAGACTATTTAGCATTTACAACACAAGCTGCAATACCCCAAATTTTTGAAATATATATATAACTTAGTTTAGGTTAATTTGTGATATTATTTTTGAAAAGGGATGTTAGTGTAATTAATGAATGAGGAATTGTAGGTTTATTCTAGGGTTTCTTTTATTTTGTATATACATATATGTATGCAGTCAAAATAGGGCAAAAAAAAAAAAAAAGGATGATTCAGCCGCTAGAGGAAGAGAGAGAGAGAGAGAGAATGAAGGAGGGAAGAAAGAAGAAGAAGAAGAAGGGATTTGGATCTATTAAAGGTATGAATTCATTAATTATTGGTAAGTTTGAAAGTTATTCAATTACATAGTATTAAGGTTATTATAAATAGTAATAAGGAATACTCTTATATACATATATATTGTATTTATGCATATAACAAAATTTATTTCTGTATATATGAAATGTGAGATTTATTTTCAAACCTCATTAGAGGTGGTTGCTACTCACGGACCTTTGTGCTCACTCAAATATTTAACATTCTTCAGGTGAGGATCAAGAGGAGGAGTAAGTCCTCGGATAGACAAGGGATTAGAAGAGTCGAAGATTTATTTTATTGTAGGTCTTCAGGAATAAATATTTTTTATAGTTTTGAGACAAGTATTCGATTGTTTTGAGAACAATGTTATTTTTGCTTAGAGTAGTGAACCTTATGAATTAATTATTGTTTTACATGAGTTTAGTAATAATATCGGTGATGTTAGTTTATTTCTCTGGTATTCATTAGGTTGGTGAAAAGGATCACTTTATTATTTGTCTTCCGCTGTATTTTGTATTAATTATGCACAGGGATGGTTGGTTAAGGCCTTGGTGGCCGGTCCACTGCTCACCCTATGTGATCCGGGGTGAGGGTGTGACAAGAGTGGTATCAAAGCATAGGTTTATGAATTATCAGAGGATTAGGCTGGATTTGAATGGTTGTATAGGCTTTAATCGGTTTTAGTTCGAAGGATGTAGAATGATATTAATAGTTAATAGAATTATTTGGGTAGTGACTACGACTAGTTAATTTGCGTAATATTTTGTACAAACAAGAGATAGTTACAAAATAGGATGGTAAGGGTATTGTAAGAAATGTGAATGACACTAATGAAATTTTAGGGCCTATATATTCTTCTGTGTTTCCTGGAGGAGCAATGATATTGGTTGTAGTACCCAAAGCACTTAAGTTTGATTTGATCGTGGCAACTCCTATGGGTGGTTTTGAATTAAGAGATATCGTGTTCTTAAGGTGTAGGGTCCACATTGGAGAACATCAGTTACTAGTTTATTGAGTATTCTTACACCTTAGGGGTTTTGATGTGACATTAATTATGGGTTGGTTAGTCACATAACATGTGACAATTGGTTATTTTGAAAAGAGAGTTCATGCAAATTTAGTTTTGAGGGAACATAATCTATTTAATCTCTAATATTAACTTTGCGAGTGCAAGCTCGAAAATGGGGTGAGGAAAGATTTGTAGGAAAATATTGCTAGTATCATTTTTGTACGGAACGAGGGATTATCTCTCGAGGAGATACCAATAGAAAGAAAATTTTTAAATATATTTTGAGAGGAGTTGTATATGCTACCATTTGAAAGAGATAAAGTTTACATTTTTTTTAGTAGCTCTGAGGTACTTTTCTTATATTTATTACTCTGTATCGGATGATTTTTGCTGAACTAGAGGAATTGGGAATTCAATTAAAACTATATTAGACCAAAGATTTATTGAACTTAGCAATTTGTTGTGGGATGCTCTTATACGCTAAGAAAATGATGAGATTGTGAAATGTACGTCGATTACTACCAGTTGAGTAAGGTAGTAATAAGAAGTAAATATCTTTTATTTGGTACTGAAGATTTATTTGATTAGCTGTGAGGGGTAAGAGTATTTAATAAGATTGATGTTGGATTCATTTACTCTGGTCAAAAGAAAGAAGCGGTCGTGTTTTAAAAATTATTTGTTGAATTGGGATAGTTATATTGTATTTTTGGAGAAGTCATTAAGGTTGACAAATGCTACATCTATTTTGATGGATTGACTAAATTAAGTATCTCAACTTTATCTAGATTCATGTGTTACTGTATTCACTGGTGTTACACCTGCGTATTCTTGTAATAAAGAAAGAATTACCCAACTTATGATTTTGGGTTAGATGTAATTGTTTTTGGTTTTGAGGATATGAAAAGATTGTTTATACGGCAAGACATGTGAGATTTATATCGATAATTAAAGGTTGAAAGATTTACTTAATGATATGAAGTTTAATTTGAGAAAAATGAGATGGATGGAAAGTCTAGGGACCATGATTATTCTATCATTATCATGTAGGTAAAGTTAGTATAGTAGTTGATACACTGAGTAAGAAATCATTAAGAAGTTTGTGTTGTATTGTATTGAGTATATCTGAGTGAGTAATTTTATTGATTTGAGATTGATAAAAATACATGTGTGTTGACTGGTACAGATATATTATTAGCTGAATTGTAAGTTAGACTCTTATTAATAAATTGAATCAACTAGCCAAAAAAAAAGGACACATGTGCAGAGTATTTGAAAAGAAGCGTAACATGATAGCAGGATATATTTTGTAACTTGTGCTGAGATTATGTTTATATTTTGATATGAGTTATGGGTATCAAAAGAGAATACGTTGAAGAGAGACATTATAGATATATCCTATAGTTCTATGTTTATCCAAGGATTTCAAAATTTTGTTAATATTGAGAATTTATTATTGGTTGGGTGGAATGAGAAAAGAGATTGCGGAATTTGTAGCCAAGGAGTAGTACACTAATAGAGAAAGACTAAATATTAGTGTCCGACGAGTTTATGACAACTTCTTTTTTCAATTTTTGAACAAAAACGGGAGTATATTATTATGAATTTTCTATAATGACTTTCAGGATATAGATTGGGCATGAATCTATTTTGGGTTGTTCTGGATTAATTCACGAAGTTATTTGGTAAAGATGTTTCATTTTCACGACATACTTTGTGTTGTTATGCTCAGGAAATATGTATATTTGATTCTCCTTATATATTGGTGGGAGCAGTATATTGAGCTTAGGGAAACTCTTAATTATGTTGAGGAGTCAAGTAATTTTGGATAAAAAGATGATTCCATTAGTCAAAGTGTTGTAGAAGAGTTACTTCGACGAGGAAATTACTTGTAAAGTGGATAAAAAGATGGAAATTGAATATTCACATTTGTTCTCACAAGGTATAAAAATTTCGAGGACGAAATTCTTTTAAGGGGGAGAGAATGTAATACCCCAAATTTTTGAAATATATATATAACTTAGTTTAGGTCAACTTGTGATATTATTTTTGAAAAGAGAAGTTAGTGTAATTAATGAATGAAGAATTGTAAGTTTATTCTAGGGTTTCTTTTATTTTGTATATACATATATGTATGCAGTCAAAATAGGGCAAAAAAAAAAAAAAGAGGATTCAGCCGCTAGAGGAAGAGAGAGAGAGAGAGAATGAAGGAAGGAAGAAAGAAGAAGGAGGGATTTGGATCTATTAAAGGTGTAAATTCATTAATTATTGGTAAGTTTGGAAGATATTCAATTACATAGTATTAAGGTTATTATAAATAGTAATAAGGAATACTGTTATATACATATATATATATATATATATATATATATGATGTGTGTGTGTGTTCATGGTGAAAGATAGTGAAGTATATATAATTAAGTTTTATTGGAAGTTATAAAGAATTGATTTAATGTCTTTAAAGAATTGATTTTACATAGTATAGATTTATGGTTTTTGAGGCCTTTAAAGAATTGATTTAATGTCTAACAAAGCAAAAAGAAAACAAAGAAGGAAGAACCAGAAGGTTACAGACGGCTGAATCAAGGTTGAAGAAGATAAAGTTTTGAAAATTATGGAAACTCCCCCCTTAGTTTTAAGTAGTTTTATTTTGATCTCTATACTTTTATAAACTCAATTTTTGATTACCATGGAACTTGGTAATTTATAGAACTGACCCAATATGTTTGAAAAAAATATGGTTATGTCAAAACAGCCCCTGAGTATTGAAAAATTTCTGAAATTTTGAAACGACCCCAAAAAGTTTCGATTAAGTGTTTAAATATCAATAGTTACTCCAATAAATCAAATTGAGGTGGTATTATTGAAAAATGGGTCTTTAGAACCTTAAATACTATTCTGAAAATTTATGGCAGGCCCGAAAACAGAAAATTCATTTTTAAAGAAATTACACTTAGACCACAAAAGTTTCAAAAATTATGATTTGACCCTAAAGCTTTAGAAACTTTTTCAAACAGTTCAGAATACTTCCATACCCTATTACCTCATATTAAAAAAGATATTTATATGTAAAAGATATATTAAGTTTATATTAATAGGTAAGAAGTATAAAAATTAAATATAGAATCGCGAAACGACGAGGTTAGGAAAATTAATTGACTGTTATATGTTATTTTAGATTAGGTGATGATTGCATTGAAGTTGGTAAAGAGTGCTTTGAATTGAATTTTAGAAACCAAGGTGAGTAGTTTATTACTTCTTTTGGAAGGATTTTCTATATTAAACTTGTGGGTGCGTGTGTGTGAATTTTTCATATATATGATATATGTTGATGTTTGGGGTTGCAATTAAATATTTTTGCAATTGTGAATTGTTACACATGTGAATTTGCAAAACTTATGAGATGATTTTATATTATTGCTTAAATGGTTTTGGTGATGAAAGAGAATTTTGTGTGCGATGGGACTAAAACAATATTTTAGTGTGTGTGTTGAAATCATATTTTATAAGAAGGGGACTGGGTTACCAGGTCTAAATAGTAACGAGATTGTATACCAGCGTGGTCGGTATAGGGATGTGCACATAGGGGCCAATTATCAGGCTAGTAATAACAAAAAGACGGGGTCAGTCATCAAGCTAGTGATGACAAGAGATGGGGCCAGTTACCAGGCTAGTGGTAACAAACATGATTTGACAAATGTATTTGAGACTGAATGTGTGTGTGAGTGTTTTGAGCTATAAATGTCTTTTCTTTTATAAAGTTATTATGATTATAAGATCATTTTGTTTACATGGTTATGTAAAAGGGATTGAAGTACAATTTATTGTATTTATGTATATAACAAAGTTTATTTATGTGTATATGAAATATGAGATTTATTTTCAAACCTCATTAGAGGTGGTTGTTACTCACGGGCTTTTGTGCTCACCTAAATATTTGACATTTTTCAAGTGAGGATCAAGAGAAGGAATAAGTCCTCGGATAGACAAGGGATTAGAAGAATCGAAGATTTATTTTATTGTGGGTCTTCAGGAATAAATATTTTTTATAGTTTTGAGACAAGTATTCGATTGTTTTGAGAACAATGTTGTTTTTGCTTAGAGTAGTGAACCTTATGAATTAACTATTGTTTTACATAAGTTTAGTAATAATGTCGGTGATGTTAGTTTATTTATTTGGTATTCATTAGGTCGGTGAAAAAGATCACTTTCTTATTTGTCTTCCGCTGTATTTTGCATTAATTATGCACAGGAATGATTGGTTAAGGCCATGGTGGCCGGTCCACTGCTCACCCTATGTGATCCGGGGTGGGGGTGTGACACAAGCCATCTTATTTTCAAAAACCCAGGCCGCATATATCACAAGATTTGAAACTCATTTTCCCAAGATTTACAAGTAGGCAAACGGGGTTAGTAATAGGGTTTCTACGTAAGAATCAGCTAAATACAACACAAAACTGCATATTATTATTAAATAAAACACTCTAATAAAACACTAACAATAACAAAAGAAACAGGATCACAACATACATAGAGACAAAAACGCATACATCTGTTCAAATATACTTGTGTATAAATATAAATTTATATAAACGCATGCCTGCTAATTGCTTTATTTCTACAGCAACCCGAATCAGTTTTCCAAACAAGAACGGCATAAAATTGCTGAATAAAACTTCTCACAACTACAAAAGAAACAGAATCACGATATACATACACACAACAACACACGTGTAAACAAATATTTGGGTACATATGCATCTATATAAACACATGCTTATACATACGCATCTTCATCTAAGTATGTTACCTCTCCAGTCTGGTAGAAACAGTTGGAAACATAATTCTCGTCCATCCAAGGCTGCAAATCACCGATCCAGAGAGAACGAATCTCATCGGAGCTAGTCGGAGCCGCAGCGTACTGCTGAGGCTGAGTTTGCAACGCCTGCATCTGCTGAGGTGTCGACGCCGCCGCCGCCTGAGGAGGCTGTTGAGCCCAGCCCATGGACGGCGGCTGAGGTTGAAAATATTGTTGAGGCGGTGGCGTGATCATCCACTGCTGTGGTGGCGGTGGTTGTTGTTGGTACTGTTGTGGATGTTGTTGTTGTTGCTGCTGCTGTTGTGGATGTTGTTGATTCATAGGCATCGGAGGCATTGGAGGTGGGACAACGCCGGTCGGTTGCATCATTTGCCGATGGAGAGAGAAGTAAACCCTAGATGAGAGTGAAAGAGGATCAGAGGACCCTATTATTCTCGAAGGGCAATAGAGAGAGATTTTTTTGGTGGGGGATGAGAGAGAGAGAGAGAGAAAAGAGGTGGGCTTGGTGGGCTTGGGGTAAGCTAAAACTGAGTTTGGCAACTGTTGGGCTGCAACTGTGAACAGGCTAACATGAGGCCCATTTGCTGCGTATTTCACTTTTTTCTTTGAGCTTTTCTTTTTTTTTTTTCTCCCGCGCGATGATTGGTAATACTATTACCGTAATAGTTATGTTTATTGGAACTTAATTGAATTAATTATTATTATTAAATAAATATGTGTGGTAATATTAGATGAGGTTCTCTACCAAGAAAAAAAAATAATGAATTAAGGTATCGTTTGATAATTATTTTTGAAAGTACATTTTTTTTCATTTTTAAGAATTTTATTTAAGTAATTTTTTTTTCTTTCTTGTTTTTGTATTTCAATTCCTAACAATATTTTTATAAAACCAAACTTTTTCTAACCTCTTATTCTCTAGTATCAGTAGTATGAAATCATTAACTTATTTTTAACCATGTCATACCATGTAGCACGGCGATAATAGTCACCTCTATTATCAAGCGATTATTGTAATATCAGCATCCTAGTCTCGTATACTCATTTAGAATGATTATTTGACAAGATTGATCCTTTGTATATAAATATGGTTCATGTGCAAAAATACATTTAAATTAATTATTATAAAATACTAATTAAAATTATTTTTGTGTCCAACTAATATTGATAGAAAATAATTTCAATTATGATACATCAAATTTCATTGGTGATTTGATGGCCAACGGGCCATATAAAAAGTTTGCCCTTTTTTAAACCTCACTGGTTAATCATTAGTCCATTTGGCAAGCACCATGGCACAAAATAGTTGTGTTTATTGCCTTTTGACCACTCAAACAACAACAAAACCATAAAGACATTGTAGTATGCCTACAACACATTCAATCTGTACCAATGGCGAAGACTAAATCACTTGAATAAAAAAATTAGTTGTGCTCAATATTTTTACAAAATAATTGAAACATTATTAATTTATTAATGGCAGGAGGACACATCTAAAAATAAAGATAGAAATAAAATTAAATTAAATTAGGATTAATAGATTTCAATCAATGAAGGGTGATTAGGTCATTTAATTTAGACCAAGTCAGGACAAAACCAAGAGTAGTAACCAGGTAACTAAAAAGTCAAAAGTAGAAAGAGACAGAGAGAGAGAGGGAAAAGAAAAAGAGAGTTAGAAAGTGTGATTATTGTCTATTTTATAATTTTTATTTTTAAAAATATATAACTATAAATTTTTAAAATTTCTTTCTTAAAATTGCACTATCTACCAAACAGCCCTCCCTCTTATTATGTCACCAGTATATCTGATCTGGTTGCAGAGGAAGTGAGACTCAGGAAGCGAAAGTAATGGAGCTCAAACTGTTATTGTTGTTGATGTCGTTAACGGTCGCTGCAACGGCCACCACGGCGGAGTACGTCCGACCTCCACCTCGGAAAACCCTACATTTTCCATGGGATCGGAAACCCTCATCTCAACCCCAACAGGTAAACCTAACTCTCTCTCCCTTTTCTTTCTGAAATTCCTTTCTAGACAGCTCAAGAATTCCCTCAAAAACCTCTAAATTTTCTGTGGGAAATTATGATCTGCTCTGAATTTTGTTTGTTTTGCATTATGCTTTGTTACTGACGAGGAAATTGCGGAAAACACAGTATATCATAGCCCTAATCTTGTAGATTATTTGTTTTTTTCTTAATGTGTTACATTCAAATAGTTATGAACTCTAACCCCCCCCCCCCAAGTCTGGGGCTTTTGGATTTCCGGTTGAGTTCATAACAATTAGTATCAGAACAACCACTACTTTATAGACACTCGAGTCATAGAAGTGATGACCTATAGATTGGATTAAAATGTCTTAGTATTATGTATGGGCAAAGTGTAATTGTGTTGAATATTGGTAGGTGATTGAAACCGCCAAAGAGAAAGGTCTACTGTTAGACCAGTGTCGATAGAGTGTGCTGTCGTGGACATTGGCTCTGGGCATGGTGGAATGTTAAGTTCAAATCCTCCAGAAGCCTCTTGGCTTTTGGGTCAACGTTTGGGTTCATAACATAATGTACACCGATGTTTATTGCATATTCTTGAGTGAAGAGGATGGGGAGTAATTGAGTGTCATGTGGTGATCAAATTGAGGTCTTAGTTTGAGAGTCAAGTTTTGCAAACCCTTGTGGTGGTTTGGACTACAGAGTTTGGGTTTAGCTTTGTACTACAACTTTTCTTGAAAGTTGAGACATAATAAGGCATAATATTGGACCTATCGTTTTCTCTTCTGTTTTCTCAGGTTCCAAATAAAGAGTTTGAGGAGAGTTTGGTGCCGCCCATTGTCATACTGTGCGTTAATTTGATTGATCCAAGAATTCGAGTATATCAATTGTATGATATCCAATATAACTGAAAATCTTTGTGGCCAAAACTGTGTCGATGAACTTGAAGTGTTGATGTTTCAATTTTTGTGAACCATTATCTAGACTCACAATTATATCTATTAGGTATCAACATTGTGGGTGGGTTGACCATTGAAGTTGTACTACTCTGATCCTGCATTTGGGAGCATGAAATCCACCCTTGGGAAGCAAGGAATATGAGTTTTTCAATTAAATCATTCATCAATTCCAACTTAATGGCCTGGATTCTTTGTTGCTAAACACGTGGATCGGAGTTAATTTGTATGTATGGTACACGGACAGATTCGGATGTTTGTGATTTGGAGTGTCTTCTCTGATAGCTGCATAAAATGACCATTGTAGGTACACATCTCCTTGGCTGGGGATAAACACATAAGAGTCACATGGATCACTAATGCTAAATCATCTCCATCAATTGTTGAATATGGAACATCACCAGGGAAGTACAGCTCTATGGCTGAAGGAGAAACTACATCTTATAGTTATCTATTTTATAGCTCAGGAAAGATACACCACACTGTCATTGGGCCCCTGGAACATGACACTGTTTATTTTTACCGATGTGGAGGAGGTGGTCCTGAGTTCCAATTTAAGACCCCTCCTTCTCAATTTCCAATTACTTTTGCGGTGGCTGGCGATCTAGGACAGACTGGATGGACTAAGTCGACGTTAGACCACATAGACCTATGCAAATATGATGTGCATCTGCTTCCTGGTGACCTTTCTTATGCTGATTACATACAAAACCGATGGGACACATTTGGTGAGCTGGTGCAACCACTTGCTAGTGCAAGGCCGTGGATGGTAACAGAAGGCAATCATGAAAAGGAGAACATACTGTTACTTGAGGATGGGTTTGAATCTTATAATGCTCGATGGAAGATGCCGTTTGAGGAGAGTGGATCAAATTCAAACCTCTATTATTCTTTCGAAGTTGCAGGTGTTCATACAATCATGCTTGGTTCATATGCATACTATGACGAGTATTCTGATCAATATAACTGGCTGAAGGTTAGTTCATCAAATATGCAAGTGTTTCTTTTGATATATTTTGCAAGTTTTGATCAATTTAAATTTCACTACTACTCAGGGGGAGAGAGAAAGATGAAAATTATGCTAAATCTCTTGTAAGGCCAATATTACAAAACTGGACATTGTTTGTCATTTACTTTCAGAAATGCTAAAAAAATCAAAGTTATTCTTCAATGGAAACAGAAAAAGAGCATTACATATAGATGAAGATTGTTGGCAGAGAGTCTTGATTTTTTTTAGTTTTCACATATCTACGGGTCAGAGAAGAGAATTTTCTATTGGGAACTTCTGATTCAGGAAATGGGAACTGAATGCTATTAGACAGGTTAGGGACATCAGGCAATGGCAATCACTGGAACCTGATGTACAAATCCATTTATGAAAAGAACAAATTTCAATATGATAGCTGCCTTTAAAGCTTTCAATCAATTCAACAAGTTAAAGGCCCAAGGACCTCAAATTAAATATTTGCGGCATCCTCTTTCATGAGAAGATATTTATGATTTTAATAAGTTATTTATTAATATAAATATTGCATTAATGAATTTTGAAGTTTCTTCAAGAGAGTCAGTGTATTGAAACAAGATACCTATTTATCACACAGGCAACTTAAGTGGTCTCTTCCAAGGTCACTCACCATTAGCATCATACCCCGGTGGGTTGCGATTCATAAGAGAAAGATGCTTTCGTCTTACTAGCACACCCTTAGCTGTTTCAAGAATAACTAGGCGTTGCAATGTGATGCTTTGAAATATTTAAACAACAAAATGGTTGGCACCTGAGCAGTGATGGATCAACAACTGTCCCTGCAATTCAGATTTTGCTACATAAAATCACAGTTCTAATGGATGTTTTCATTTAATGATGATTAAATGAGATAATTGTTAAAAGCTATAGGGCTCACTCCTGCTTGCAGGTGGTGGTGGGTTCCCCAAAAAAATTATTACATGCTATGGCATTTGCTTGCTCATTACATATTATAGCATTCCTCAGACAATGAAGAAATATAGTATCTTCAACTTTACACATTGATGTCAAAATGGATACATAAATAATAGATTGAGTTATTAATAGGTTTCGTAGTGAAATACAGTATAATTTGAAAGATACCTTATGAAATGGCATTTTGTTATATTGTAGGAATACATGTTGGGTTGTTTTATTTTTTTGCTCCGTTTCTATAAATGGATTTCCTTTAAATCTTGGAATGTAGGCTGATCTTCTAAAGGTAGATCGGAAAAGAACACCTTGGCTAGTTGTGCTATTCCATGTTCCCTGGTATAACAGCAATGAGGCTCATCAAGGTGAAGGGGATGAGATGATGGCAACCATGGAGCCGTTACTTCATGCTGCTGGTGTAGATATTATGCTTGCTGGCCATGTGCATGCTTATGAGCGCACGGTATGCCTATTATGGACTAGCTTCACTCCTTATCTTTGATTTATGGCATTGACTTATCCATGTGGTTATTGGTTCTACAGAAACGTGTCTACAATGGTAAATCGGATCCTTGCGGTGCCATCCACATTACAATTGGTGATGGAGGAAACAAAGAAGGTTTAGCTCAGAGGTATGCTTTGTATTAAGCAATCTGAGTGAACAGTAAAAACAAAAATTAAAAGAGAAATGATCTTACTTCCTTTATGAGTTCAAGATTCTGCATGCTATTTTAGTTGGTTTCCCCTGTTCACCCGTGCCAAAACTTACATAGCATGGCGAAATTAGACAGGAGCTTAATATGAATTAAGAGGGTAGCTCTGTCTGAGTTCATCATACTCTCTCTTTGTGAACTGCCAACAAAAACTTTTCGGGACTTTTTTTTTTGCAAGCTGAAGGATGCTAAACTAGATGGAAACTAGGAAGTGTTCTTGATAAGATTCTCAAACTGACATTTCTTTCACTCTATACCAATTCTGTGTGTGTTTTCATCTCCAGCGACACGACTAATTGAAGTAACTGAAATTTCAGATGTCAAACTGAGACCTGACTCTGTCGAGTCCCTACAAATTTATTGACAGGTACAAAAACCCGCAGCCAGAGTGGTCGATTTTCCGTGAGGCAAGCTTCGGTCATGGCGAGCTGAAGATGGTGAATTCAACTCATGCTTTTTGGAGTTGGCACAGGAATGATGATGATGAACCAGTAAGGTCTGATCAGGTTTGGATAACCTCTTTGGTCAGTTCAGGATGTGTTGCTGAGAAGCGCCCTGAACTAAGGAAGATACTCATGGCACCTTAGAACTGGTAATATCAATATCGCCCGCTTTTACTCGTTGGAATGTCTTCGCTAAGTTTATCTGTAAATATATTGTCTAGACATACGGTGTATCATGTAATTGTTGGTAGTTGAATTGGGTGCGAACCCTGGCACCGTGTGACGTTTGAGACTCTACCCCTGCCGAGTCTTTGCGATAAGTACTCTTGCATGTATAATAATCTCAAGTTGTGCTTTTGTCCTTGATGAATCATTTTAACCAGAGCCATAAACCAGTTGGGATAAAGGGAGATACACATATTTAGAATGGATGGCTATGCTGCTGCTGCTGCGGCGGCGGCGGCAAGGGCAAGTTATAACCGAGTGGGCGGACCTCTTGACCACTTCACGAACATCTAGATTTCTGTCAAGGCCAAGGGTCAACTTGACAAAATTTAACCGAGGATCAGCTTAAACATCTGCCACGAGAGATGTAGATTCCATGGGGGTTCAGTTTTTCTCAATGTATCTGAATACCACCCATAGTGTACTAGTTGAGATCTACTTAATTTTCAACCTTCTTTTAAATGTTTACTCAAGAGTAAAAATCTTAGATTGATATAAAAATTATAATGGATAAATTTAAATTTAAAGGAGAACAGAAGGTGAAATATGACTTTTAAATTTTTTTAAAGGAGGATAAAATTTAATTATTGAAAATTGATTAAACATTTAAGTCTCTCTTAATTTAAGTAAAGATTTGAGTTTTTTTTTTAATTTGAGTAAAAAATTTAGTCTTTTTTTTTTTTGGGTTTAATGGGACTAATTTATGTACACTTTGATTAATTTTTTTTCTGGTCTGGTCTGGTCTGCTCAAAGATAGATCATTTACGTCCTAGAACTAAAGTATTTATGATGGACAAATTTTTCATTGTCTTGCTACAATGAAATATCAAGGTTTAAGTTCAAGATGTTTAGAGTTGACGTTTAGATTTACGGTTCGTTCTTATTAATAATTAAAGTTTATTCTTAGCCTGTTTGTATTTAAATTTAAATATAAGTAAAAGTTAAATATTATTTTAGTCAATTTTTGTGCAGTGTAAGAACTAAATTGAGAGGTACAATGAAATTAGTGTCAATAACACTTGTTTAAATGCGAGTTGAAAATTGAGTGGGGTAACTGAAACTAGTGTCAAAATTCAAGGGTTGTCTAATAAATAATTATATCAAATTTCTAAGATAGTGCCCTTGCTAATTTCAATTTATACCTTTAAAAATATTTTAATTTTAATTTGTACTCTCAAATATTAAAATTTTTAATTTATACTCTTAATATTATGAATTGATAGTAATGTAGATCTCATCTAAACCATCAATTTATTTTTCATTATAAATTAAAGCACGTGAGTTATAAATGTTTCAGACATGAATTTATGTATAATTCATATACTGTTGATGTCTCGTGTAAGTTGCATATGATAAAATTAGCTTATGTTTAATTAATGAAACTTTATATTTAATGCACAAAATAATATTAAATTAATTATAAACAAAAATTTGCAACGATGGACGGATCTCATCTCCATATCTAAAACACTTGTACCTTATGCGCTTCAATTTTTATCAGAAAATTGAATAGTAGCATGGATAAGATTCATATTAGTACCAATTTATAAAATTAAGATTTTTAATGTTTGAATGCGTAAATTAAGAATCAAAAATATCTTTCGTGCAAAGTAAAATTAGCACTATACCCTTTAAATCATCTTAATTCCCACAATCAGCTTCTACCAGTTCAGTTGTGCTTGTACTGGACACCACCGATGCTTAAGCTCTTTTCATGGCGTCGCTCAAGTCTTCATACCCTAAGTCCAGACTCAGGCATTCCCTCCTTTCGTCTATCCCCTTTATCTCTCCTCTATATCTCTCGTTTTCTAAGCCAATTTACATCTAAATGTCTCTCCGAGGACATCTACGACCCTCCATTTTCTCCTGCCTCTAATACCCAAAATCCCAATAAAAAGACCCAGAAGAAGAAGAAGAAAAACAAAGATCAAGCTCAACTCGATTGCAAGAAAACCCAGGAGTTTCCGTTGAAGTCCGATTTGCCCTTTGATTTTAGGTACTCATACTCGGAGACTAACCCCTCTGTTGAGCCCATTGGGTTTCGCGAACCGCCGAAGTTCTCGCCGTTCGGACCCGGACGGCTTGATCGGAAATGGACCGGAACTTGTGCTCCTGCCGAACAACTAGTGGATTTGGAAAAGGTGGTAGAAGAGAGGAATAAGGTTCTTGGAGAACCGCTTTCTGATGAGGAAGTTGCAGAGCTTGTTGAACGGTATCGGCACAGCGATTGTTCACGGCAAATGAATTTGGGTAATTTCGTGCCTTAGTTTCTGTATATCATACTATGCTTCTTTGATTAATTGTTTTTGGAATGTAATCTGGGGAATCAATGAATTTGAGTTCTATAACTTGGATGCATTTATCTTTAACAGAATTGAATCACCGCTATGCGATGCCAGTTTATGAATTATAAGATACATAGATGACCTGCATTGTGTCTGTTTAATTTTGCAGCAAAAATTATTGAAAAGACTTCTTTGTTTGAAAAACCATCTCAGTTCTTGAGGTATGTATTTGTTTTGACAAATTTTCTGGATTCTTGGTTCGATGAGTATGTACATTTGCTTATTGAATGAAAAAAAAGAAAAAAATACTTAGTAGGACATGATATCAGTCACTCTCTGTTGGATTCTCTCGTTGGAGTTATCCAATATATTATGTTGTGCATATAATATTATAGGTATATCTGTAAGCATATATGCACTGTCTGCATTGAATTGACTTGGGTTTTTATGTCTATGGAAATGGACTTCAACATTTTAAGTGTAGATAATTCATTGTTCGACTTCAGCTATTGGAGTATTGTTCTACCGTAAATTACTAGCACAAGTACTTGCTGTGGGAAGTTGACATATTAAGCAGCCTAATGTCTTGCAACTATCTGCCTTTAACATAGGACTGAAAGTCTGGAGATAATCAATACTATACCCATCTGGATGCGTTCTTGTGGCCTACAGAGCAATGAATTGCATTAGGCTTTGACTTTTACATCTTTTAATAACGAGTAATTGTCTTTTTTCTTGTTAGGGAAGGGAGGAGTTACTCACAACATGCTGGAAGACATCTACAACCACTGGAAGAGGGCTGAAGCTGTGAGGATCAAATGTTTGGGAGTGCCAACTCTTGACATGGACAATGTTTGCTTCCACCTTGAGGTTTGAAGTCTACATGCCAGTCCATCAGAATAGTGAAAATCTGATTCCTCCTCTGGGTTTCAAGTATTTTTTAGCTGATGTGGACTGTAGTGTATTTGTAGGATAAATCTGGTGGAAAGATTATTTATCGCCAGATTAATATCCTTCTCTTATATCGAGGTCGGAACTATGATCTCAAGAACAGACCTGCCATCCCTTTGATGCTGTGGAGGCCATATGCGCCAATCTATCCGAAGCTGGTGAAGAATGTTGCTGATGGCCTGACATTTGAAGAAACAAAAGAAATGAGAAATAGAGGGCTCAACTCTCCCCCTCTTATGAAACTCAGTAAGTGACTTCGTTTTCTGGAGGATAGAAATTAACTACTGTTTTTACATCCTATCTATAGAATGGGTAAAACTTTAAAACATTTAAGTGCATGCAATCAATTGAGTGAATAGCCTTAATCATTTGTGTTCTGCAGGTAGGAATGGTGTCTATGTGTATGTAGTACACAAGGTGAGGGAGGCATTTGAGATTGAAGAAGTTGTGAGACTGGACTGTTCCCATGTGGGTGCCAATGACTGCAAAAAGATAGGTGCAAAGTTAAGGGTATAATCCTTGCCCTTGACTTAGATTCCAGTTTTTTAAGATCCTAATACAAAAGCCTTTCTCGGGGGTATGTTCTGGGTAATGTGAACTGTATTATTTTCTGTTAATCTATCAATGCAGGATTTGGTGCCTTGTGTCCCTATTTTGGTCAAGGATGAACAGCTTATACTCTGGAGGGGTAAAAAAGATCCGACACAGAACTCCAGCTCATTAATGGAACTAACAACCCCATTGATGCCGTCTTAATATTCTTAAAAAGGGGTTAGGTCCTGGATTTGGTGACACCCATTGGTCTCTTGGTAAATTTGTAAGTCAGCTCGCGCTGCATGATTTGTCTCATCCCTCTTTTTTTTCGGGTAGCTGCATACATGTTAGATGATGAGATGATCTTGGATCTGTGGTTGTTTTACCTTACATCCTAACACAAAAAGATGCTGCTGCAAAGGAAGTTGTCAGTTGCTTGCTGTGCATCCTTCAACATCTTGGTGAGTGAGGGCTTGTATTGGCATCTTGTATCACAGGAAATATGCTGGCCGTATAACGAACCTCAGGAGGCATTTGAGATCCCTGTAACTCCCATTTTTCAAATTCTTTTGCAGTTGTTTCTATCTTTGTAAGTTTGAGATGGACAGAAAATGAAAAAAACCAAACCCTTAACGAGAGGAAAACCTTGTCATCCTGTCATCTTGCCACGGGTTTCTTTGAAGTTGAACGTTGACAAAATTTTCGATGCCAACTTATAGCTATTTTAATACTGTAAGATGCCATTTACATTGAAAGTAAATTGATAAGAAAGGCAAAAAAGTCGTGCATCAGTATCACTCTGCAATGATGTCTGGATCTTTTCCTATATGTCTTGAAAAAGCATAAATTTTCTCATCAATTAACTTTCTTTCATGATGAAGATTCCTGGTAAACTATAACATGGATCCAGGGAATCTAAAAATGGTAGAAGGAAATACATTAGGGACTGGTTGTCATACCAATCTATCAACATATTGGTTGATCGAGTAGTCTCACTTGATAGAGCACAGTGTAGTTAACATCATTTATGTTGCTGATCCGAAACAGTTGGGATAAAAATGCTTCATGACGTTGAGTTGAATCAGATACAACATTCAGAAAAAAGGTGCATAAACTTCATTTGATGTTTCTTAATACAAGTGATTGAAGTTTCAGAGAAGGGGTTATGTGAAACTTGTATTAACCTCTGCAGTTCATGAATCTCTCTTCTTGAAGAAGGCATCAATTGTGTTCTTGACCGGGATATAACTTTCAGTTCAAACTTTACTCGAGGTAGAAAAAGTTCATGCGTTAGATGATTTGTGCAATCTATCATATTTGCACCGCCTCTGATCTCCAACCATGGACTCAAAAACATCCAGGAGAACATCCAAGCCTTTGGAATCATCCCCTACAGCATTAAGTGCATATACAATGCTCTCAATGGTAGACAAACATCCGGCCCTTGGCTGGTGCCTGACTTCACCATACAAGCTAGGCTTATCCAGATCCAACTTCAAATGTGGCAAAAACTGTAACCAAGGGTTCTCATTGTACATTCTCTTTGCCTTAGCCCATGTTCCATCCAATACAATCAAGTTCTTCACCTCAAAGTTTATATCCTCAAACCCAACTGATTTTTCGCTTGGAAAGAGAAGTACTGACCCAGGAGGAACTGTGATTTCAAACTCTTCACTCTCTTCAAGTGCAATGCTTCCACTCAATTGCTGCTTCTGCAGCTTTTTTACAACAAACCCTTTTCTGAGAACATCAAGAGCTACTGGAGATGCCAAAACCTGATCAAAATCGGGTTTCTGCGACTGAGATAGCAGCATCCAAGGAAGTACAAAAGAACTAATGGAACCATATTTTCCAATGGTAAGCTTAATGGCAGATATATTGCTACCAATTGGGACTGTTCTAATTGGACCAAAACATTGCGAAAGCTTGTTCATATTACCAATTTCAGGTTCGTCATTGGTATGAACAGAGATATTATTTCGCTCTCCTGAGTACTCCACAAATCGCCCAGATTTCAATTTTTTCACAGTCCCACCTTGCGAGTTCGACTCATCAACATAATCAGAGCTGCTACAATTTTCATTTCCATCTAAATCGCCTCTCTTTTCTTCCACACTGACCAAACCCATTTCACAATCCGACTCAAGAAAATGAATAACGAACCGGGCTTCGAAATTAACATCAGAAACATATACTTTTTCGATGTTCTTCAGTCCTAATGTTGCGATTCTGGCAGAATTGAGTGGGTGCTTTTTCTCTAAACTATGTTGAAGAATTGTGACGGCCACGGAGTTTTGGAGACCTGGGGTTTTGAGACGAGTACAGAAGCAGACACGGGCGGGTTTCGAGCATGATGGGCACATGGGTCTTTTGGAAGAAGTTGAGTGAGTCACCATTTCTAGGGTTAGGAGGGCTAGGGTTTGAGGAAGGTAGGGTGTTTGGTTTCGAAGAGAATTTAGAAGGGAATAGAATGTATTGTTTTGGGGTAATGATCCAATTCGAGTACCAAAATGAACCAGCATTTGGTTAGAACATGGATCAAAACTCTGAATTTCAGATACAATTTTGTACAGTGAATGTGGAGCAAAACCCCGTGTAGCATGAAATAACGTTGACCCAAAGCCTTGTCGGTAGTAGCGACGAGCAAAAGGGTACTGCGAATCGCAATCCAATAGTAGAGAAGCCCGCCCGTATGTGGAAGTTCTTGCTCCAAGACGTGTTTGAAACAATGGACGGACATTTCTATAGAGTAAAGGGTAAATCCTCGTTCGTACTGTTTGATTTGGGGCATCCCCAAGCTGGTAATAAAGAAAGAGTGATGCAGTTCAAAATTTCTGCTCTGTTCCCAAAATACAGAGAGACTTAGGAGGGTAGATTCAGGTTGGTTAGTACGGAAGTCATGGCCGGAGGGCCCGAGGGAATGGCAATGGGTCGTGCTTAACTAAACCGGCTTATGCATCGGATACGCTTACACCTAATAAGACCATCTTTAACAATAGAAATTAGTTTAGTTACTCAAAAAATAATATTTTTATTTTAATTATTCATTTTTTTAATATATACTTCAACATATTTTTTATATTTTTAATTATTTCTTTTAAATGTTATTTCTCATTTTTTTTTGTCTTATTTTTAATTGAGAATAGTGAAAGGGGAAAAGAGTAAAATACTATTTTGCATAATATTCTGTTGGAGTGACAAAATAACTGAATTTTGAAATTTTTGTGTCTGCTCTCTTGGGGATGTTCTAAGGGGTTATGGGTCATGCGCAGCTGGGTCGGTGACTGGTTAAACGGGTCTAGTGGAGCCAATACGCCGATTAACGGTCAACTTGGCAAGCCAACATAAAGCCCATGATTCTATCCGTTGGGCTATCATGCTGCCCATGATCGGTGGGTTATCGGGCTATGGAGTAGTTTGCAAAGATTTTTTTTTTTTTTTAAAAGTAAATGGCATAATTATTATTGAATATCTACGCCTCTACGGTGATGAGAAAATATTAAGTATCACGGTTATTACCATGTTGCCATTCTAACTTGGTATTACCATTGAAAAACAAAATAATAAATAAACAATTAGGTCCCATACAATTAAATAATTATCTATCCATATAATATAACTAGTTATTGTCTGTACTTAAAGACACAAAATAGTAAATAATAAATATATTTGTATTTATATCAAAAATTAAATTACAAATATAAAGAAGAGATAAAATAATTTAAGCATTGATTTGTAGTGAGGGTGAGAGGTGGTAGACGATAGTGGTAGTGGTGGCAACGACGGTGATGGTGGTGGTGATGGCGACGATGGAGGTGGCGACGACGACGGTAATGATGGCGGTGGTGGTAGTGACGACGGTGATGGTGGCAATGACAGTGGCAGTGGTGGTGGTAGAGGTAGTGATGAGGCAGTTTCAAACACTTTTTTTTTTAAAATATTTATAAAAAATAATTTTTAAAATATTTTTAAAAATCATTTCAAACACACTCTTAGGTCTTATTTTTCTTATTAAATATAAGGTGTTAATAGTAGTCATTAGATTAACTTTAAAATAAAATTTAAAACAATCTCAATCGCGAATAACAAAAATTATTTTATTTATCTTTTAAAATTTAAATTATAAACTATTTTATTATATAGATAACTAACCTATTTATAGAAATGAAGAACACCCTATTCATTTGATTTTTTCTCGTTAATGACAACCACACACGATAATAATGACATAATGCCATCGTTATATTAACTATTTACTCCACCACAACATGTTTTATCGCATATATTTACCTTTAGGTAGCACTACCGTACTAAAGTGGTACCATAACCAAATTTTTTAGATCCTTGTTTTGATTTATTTGTAATAACTAATTACAAATAAAAACTTTAAATATTATATATATATATATATATATCCTTGTATTTGGTATCAGAGCCATTTGACGGTCTGGTGTATTACCTCTGTAATTTCATTTGAGTCATCTAACTCATCTAGAAATCTTTATTTGTTCTTTTTTTAAATTCATTTGTAAGTAGAACACTCTAGTACCCAACCTTAGTCCAGTCTATCAAGAGTACGTAAGCCGCACTTATCCCGACCGTAAGTCCCGTGTGAGGCAAAGAGTGGATCGCAGGCGAGAAGTTGAGAGAAGCCAGATTAGGGGGTATGTCTAGAGCTGTCCAACTTACATATTAATTTAAAATTTGATAACAATTTAGATTTTAAAAATGAGTAGATTATTCAGATCTAATTCTAGAGCTAGTACATCTAGATCTTCAGATTATTCTATGCCACATAGAGTAAATGAGGAAGAATTAGAAATAGAAGAAACTAGAACAGATTGGAAGAAATGGAATATTCCTCCAGTTAAAGAAAAAAATATTTATAGCACAACTTGGGTTCAGAAAACCTTTAGTGAAGAACACCAAGTTAAAACTGTTGAACAGGTTCATCCTCTCAGGAAAGAAGATGAACTTTGTGAGCTCCTCAGTAAGGAGACTCTTAAAATTCACAAGGCCAAAGGATTTAATTTTATCCACATAGGTCTTGTCCAAGTGGCCATTAAGCCTCTTATTACCCAAGGCAGGAATGCTGCTGCCTTACTTGCACTAAGAGATGCGAGGTTTCTTGATTGGGAACCAAGTGTCTTGGGAATCATGGAGACAGGACTCCACCGAGGTCCAGTCTACTTTAACTGCTTCCCAGACTTTACCCTTGACCTCCATTGTCCTAATACCCACACGGCACTAACTCTTGGTATCCGTCTCACAGGCGATATTACCAGGTTAGTACAAAATACTAGTTCCTTAGTACTTATCTATAGGATTTATTACAAGTGTATTCGTACCAATTTAAATGTACAAAGCCTTGACCCAAGTCCTAAAGGAAGTACTATGTTAATTCAATCTAGTTCTGCACAGACTAACATCCAGGTTCCAAAGCAGCTACTTTGGAAAGATGTGACTTTACCGGAGTCATGGACTGTACAGAATGAGAATTTTGACAAGGAATCTGGTTCCGAGTCAACAACAACTGATCTGGAGACTATTAAACAGCTCCCTGACGGATCAGTAAAAATATCATTTGACACTGCCAGATCCACTAGATCTTGCAGATTCACCCCCAGGCAAGATCAGATTTCTGAAGGAAGAAAATCTGATTTCTCATCTGTTTCCCATAGAGACAGAGAGATTGCCCAAGAACTTGACCATAGGTTGAAAGGAATCGCTAATTCCTCAGACCCAGTAGCTAGGCCAGTGTACACTCCCATAAATGTCCCATTAAAGTCTAGGTACACAGAGTTCAAACAAACAGAGAATGATGCTTTTACTCCATCACCTTCTCTGTCACCCACTGCTAGTGCTTTTGATGGAAATGACAAAACCCATCAATTATACACTATCACTAGGGAAAAGAATTTTTTATGCCTGATATTTACAAATTAAAAATGAATTTCAAAACCCCTGAGAACAGACCTCTTAGGAAAGCTTTTGAATCTTTACCTTGTAAAACCCAAGAAATCATTAAAAAAGAATGGGTTAAATTAATGTATAAATTAGAATCCGAAATTGCTTTTGAAAACTACTTAGCAAACTTCCACAAAGAAGTAAAAGTAGTAACCCAGCAAAATTGGAAAACAGAATCTGCCTTGGTAACCTCTAGTCATCCACCAGCAGAAACTATTGAATTTAAATATGCTAACAAAACTGTCACAGCTTCTCCCTTTAAGATTCCAGTCTTAGAATCTGAAAAGAAGATAGTTGAACAGGTCAATTTCACCAACCAAAGCCTAATTACCATAGGTAAACAGTTGGATAAAATTGAAAATAAAATAGATGAAATTAAACCATCTTCAGTAGAAAGACCATTAGTCAACTTACCTGAAGTAAAGAAGGGTGAGAACCCCATTCATCAATAGAAATAATTTTGGTAATATACAGGCTATGATAGATAACTTTAGTTGGGTTTATCTTATCATAAATGGGCTTGGTAAATATGGATTTGGTATAGTAGAGAATATCTTGGGAAAAACTATGGGGTTTTTCCAAGTCTATTGGGATATAGGTCCAACCTGTTGGGAGGTAAGCCTGTACAAGGTCTATTGAATCCTTGTATTTGGAATGAGCTAGTTCAATGGCTAGGACATTCTCAGAATAGGCTTTGACATAGTCAACCTTTGGGCCTAATGGGGCTACAAAGGGTGGTGTGGCCTGATAAGGGTTTGTCATGGCACTAGTGGTCCTGACAGGTTGCTGTTGGGCCATTTGGGTAAAGGTTTTTGGGTTAACAGTGGTTGATATAGCTACTGGTCTGGTAACCAGGGCCGATTGGGTACTAGTTGAGTCCATTCTGGCTATTTCATTGGCCATTATCTGACTCAACTTAAGTTGGGTTTGGGCTACTGGCTTTGTGGGCTGAGTAGTTGGTAATAAAAATCTGTTTATATATATATATATATATATATATATATATATATATATATATATATATATATATCTTATTTTGATTTCCAGAAAATGAAATTTATCGAATTTCCTGTTACGGCGGGAGGCAGACGTGGAGTGTGATGCCCACACGAAGCAGATGATATCAGCTGTACGAACTTCCAATTTTACCCTTCTATTCATTGACGAGGACTTGGATATGTTTGACATTTTATGACATATCAAGGGCAATATAGATATAAAATAAGGGGGTGTGGGCACGATATGCTTTTTGACCCACCCACCCAGCAACACCACCACCACACCACCCTCCCCACAGACAGTTGAAACTTTCAGGCGTCAAAACCAACCAAATCCTCAAATCTCTGTCTTCTTGATCTCCAAAACCTTAGCTTAGTCCCCCCCAAATCTCAATCTCCTGTACAGAATCAGCTCGCCAAAATGCATGATTTTTGCTTTACGATCCCATATGGTTTGCTTTTGGCTTGTGGTGGGCTGTTTGGTTACATCAATAAAGGAAGCACAGCTTCGTTGGCCGGAGGTTTAGGCACTGGATTGTTGCTCATACTAGCTGGTTATCTCAGTCTCCAAGCTTTCCATAAGCGCAAGAACTCGTATATGGCCTTGATTCTTGAAACGGGTATGGTTCATTTGATCGATATGTGCAGTGTATATGCTGATCTTTTCATGGTTATTTAGTGTTCTTGGATTACTCTTCTATCTATTGTTTAGCTGGAAGAACTTTATAACTTGGATTGTGGTGGTATTAAATTTTTTAATTGGACAACCCAGATGTAGTAACTCAGTCAGCATTTAATTGTTGGGAAGACGTACAAAAAATGGCGCTATTACGGATATGAAAATAATGAGAAAGTTCGGATTCAATTGTCAAGCGGCCTTATCGGAAATATGATTTACTACAGATTCGAGCCATAGGACATGGTTTCATAAAGCGGCATGATTTTTCTGAAAAAAAGTGATTGAAATTGGAACTAAATCTTGGTCAATGGGTGGGAGCTGGTGCCTAATTTGAGTTAATAGTGAAACAATTTGGCTTAGCATGGGTTAGTTATTGATATTCTGGAAACCAACACGACAATTGTGAGATTTGATCTTTTCTTTCCTGAATTGTAACAGCACATTATGGGACACCAGGAAATAAACCTTTTTATGGGTTATCCTCATAATCCTTTGTGTTTTTTGTATTTGGCAATCCAATCAATTACAAAGGGGAACACAACAACTGCATAGGATAAAGGCTTTGGACTGGAATTTAGTATGTAGTGATAGCTTTGTAGGATTATTTTCATTTTCGTAGTGTTGAATTTATTGTGTTTTTGTTTATTTATTTGGTACTTGTTATTTTATTTTTATTTGATCTGCATATAGATATAGGATCATCTTGTAAAGTTTTCCCTCAGTTTTTGCAAGGGAATTAAGTTTCAGACTTGAAAGAATTGGATTCTCTCCTCTCTCTCCCTCAAGTCTTTGTTTCCCTCTCTACACTCTTTCTTCAGAGTGCTAATGCAAACATAAAATTTGCGAGTAGGAGTCTATCAAACTTTAGGTAGGGATCTACCATTCAAGAAGAATTCTACACGTTTTCTTAAAGAGAAAAAAAAGAACGGTCAAAGCTTACCGATTAAGACTTCTGAGCAATCTGACAAGTGACAAGATTCCTCACGAGCTGGTTGTATAATTTTTTGTCATTTGAATTGAGTCGGGAATATAAAGATTTGCAATTCGATTCTTGGGACATAAAAGTTGGTGGATGTAGTAAAGGTTCTGTATGCTTATGCATCTGATGTATGAATGAACTCTCAATATGCTCCGCGGATGGTTTCAATCGATTAGTGCCAGCCAACTTCTGAAATGAAGACTGTTGGATATAGGTCTTGTTTAACTTTATCTTTTGTATGTATGCGTGCATCTTATTGGTTTCATGCTCATGCGGTGCGGCCAGGTGCGGGGTGGTCAAAATATACACTATTCGCGATCAAGCAGTGATTTAGAGTTTTACTAGCTACAACTTTAATCATAGCTGTCTTATAGTGGAAACACAAGGTGTAAAATGAGAATTATTTTGGAAAGGAAATGCAAAGTGTTAATGTCAGAATTGTTACAAAACGTTCCAGAACAGGAACCTGAACATTTGTTCTTCCCATTGTTTGTTTTATTTCTCAATTTATTGTAAAAATAGTATATTCTTTGATTCCTATGCCTTCAAACAGCTTGTGCTGCAACACTCACATGGGTCATGGGGCAACGCTACATCCAAACCTCTAAGATAATGCCAGCTGGTATGGTTGCAGGCATCAGGTAACTTCAAAATATCGATTGATCTTTTCTGTTTTCATATGCTGGATCTTTGTCTGGAATTTGAGAAGCATCTATATCTCTGCTCCTTTGGTAGGATCAGAGAAAACATTCAAACTCATGTTGCACGTGTCATGCTATTATAATGCGTTTCAATATGCGTAATTATGTTTTCTTTTGCTGTGTATAAATTTAAAATATAGTAAGTTAGAGTAAATCTATATCCATAGTGTGCTACTTCAAGTCTTGTGGTCAAATCATTGCTTTTTGCAGCATTTCACTTGAATTTTGTTATTATTGATAATCAGGAACTGCTCTCCCAGCCTGGCGTCCTTTTCCCCATTGTTTCATAGAAAAAGTCATGAAAGACAGGATATCACCTACAATCTATTTGCAATCTATTAAGGGATGATTTCTTGCCACAGTGCATGATCAGTCATCTATGACTTGACTATCTACGTTTTGTAAATGACTGGTGATGAATGTTTTCCCCACAAAATGATATGAATTAGGCTCATATGGTATTCACAATCTGTGTTTATGCCTAAACGATAATTCACAATCTCCAAGAGATGCACATTTCTTGATGGTAATGTTCTCTTCTCAGATGTACGAACTTTTAAGTTTAAAGTAACATACAAGGACAGGCTATGTTGCACGGATCTTAATGAGTAGCAGCACTACATTTCTGGTTTTTTGGCGGTAATTGCTTTCCTTGACCTTTTGTGCTACTCCCAAAAGGATTGTTGAAATAGTCTGCATCTTAAATATTGAGAGGGCTTTACTCAGATTTCTAACTGGTAAACAAATTCTTGTATTAAGCTCATGGCAGCATCTCGTGAAGAGAACTTTTCTAAGATAGTAACAAGAGAGCCTATGCTCATTGTAGGCGTCATGACTTGGTGATTTATGGTGATCATTATCAAGCAGGCAATTGTCGACTGAAAGAACAGTTTGTGTTGCATAATGTCAGACAACCAAAAGCATAATGTGTGCATCCTATGAGGACGTTGAAGTTGACAAGTCATTAAACACATGGTGATAAGTTTATTATGCAGGTTAGGAGAAAGAGCTTCACAGTGAGAAAATGAGGTTTAGGGTCATGCTCCACAAATATCAGTAATTGAACCCATAAAAGCAAATTGGTAGCTGCAAGTTGAAGTGGGTGATAAAGTGAACATCTTGTGATGCTGTCATTGAAGTAATGGAGATTGTTAGGCGTGAGTCAGAACAACTGGGTTCTTTTTGAATGTTTAGATAAAAAATTAATATTTGAAACTGATGATGAACTTTTAAGTTCCGAAAATTCTTTGCAAGGATCCAGACCCAGTAGCTGTGGCGGAAAGCCAGCTTATGAGAAAATAAGCTGCTAATTTTTTTTTATTGAGTTGTAGAGCACACACATGCATCCAACCTGTTGTGATCGTGCAGTAATTATGGTGAATAATAAAGAATCAAACAATTAAGAAAGCAAGAAAAATAACACACAGATTTACGTGGTTCGGCAATGTGCCTACATCTACAGGAGCTAGCGGCCGTTCTTTTTCATTATTCAAAGTAGGGTTACATCTTAAGTATTTATATAACCCTAGTATGGACGTATTTACAAAATTACCACTGTACGCCCCCGCACCCCAAACTAATCAATGTCCCCTCCATACATAAAATATATCAATCCCACAAGGCAGATACCATCGCAGGTTCCGCTTTGGCATCTGCCTCCTTATCATTGTGCATACAGCAAATATGAGCCACACATACTCTAACAATCTCTACCTTGACAAATATTCACTCTTTAGGAGAAAAAAGAGAACATGTATCTAGGAACTCCACCGGGGACGCTAAGTTGGGGCATCTCTCATCTAGTAACCGGAGACATTAATCAAGTCCAAGCAGTACTTGAACTTGTCTGTAATAACAGGCTTTGTCAACATGTCTGCTGCATTCTCATAAGTGTGAACTTTCTCAAGTAATAGTTCACCAGAAGAAATCAGCTCCCTGATCTTATGAAACCTCACATTTATGTGCTTGGTCCTCACATGATATACTTGGTTCTTTGCTAAATAAATGGCACTCTGACTGTCACAATGCAACTGAACTCCATCTTGCTGGGCACCCAGCTCCTTGACCAAACCTGTAATCCACAAAGCCTCCTTGGCAGCCTCAGCTACTGCCATATACTCTGACTCAGTAGTAGATAGTGCAATTATAGGCTGTACCATGGACTTCCAACAAATAGGTCCTCCCACAAGAGTAAACACATAACCTATGGTAGACCTCCTGTCGTCCAAGTCCCCTGCATAATCTGCATCCACATATCCCACAACTGAAGGGTCACTCTGTTGTCTGCTAAACATGATGCCATAGTCTGTAGTGCCCCTCAAGTATCTGAAAATCCACTTGATTGCATCCCAATGCTGTCGACCCAGATTTGAAAGAAACTTGTTAACCACGCTGACAGCTTGTGCCAAATCTGGTCTTGTACAAACCATGACATACATCAAACACCCCACTGCACTAACATATGGGACCTTTGACATTTCATGAACTTCATCATCTGTCTTCGGGCACTGAGTGGTAGACAATCTAAAATGATTTGCCTAAGGTGTACTTATTGGTTTTGCATAACTCATGCTGAACCTGTCCAACACCTTCTCAACATAGCTATGCTGGGATAGCCATAATCTCCTGAAACTTTTGTCCCTGCGAATCTCCATCCCAAGAATCTTCTTAGCCGCACCCAAATCCTTCATGTCAAATTCTTTGCTCAACAAAGTCTTCAACTTGTTGACCTCACTCATACTCTTGGCAGCAATCAACATATCATCCACATAAAGTAACAAAAAAATAAATGAATCATTATCAAGGATTTTCACATAGACACAGCAATCATACTCACACCTTTTGTAGCCAATCCGGATCATGTAAGGGTCAAATCACTTGTACCACTGTCTCGAAGACTGCTTCAGCCCATAAAGTGATTTCTTCAAATTACAGACCAAATGTTCCTCTCCAGGGAGACTGAACTCTTCTGGCTGTACCATGTAAATTTGTTCCTCCAAGTCGCCATGAAGGAAAGTTGTCTTTATATCCTTCTGCTCCAACTGCATATCTGAATGTGCTACTAGTGCCGACACTGTCTTGATGGAAGTGTGTCTGACTACGGGAGAGAAGATCTCATCATAGTCAACCCTTTTCTCTGTGAGTAACCCTTTGCTACTAGATGAGCCTTGAATTTTTTCCTCTCCTTTTCTGATACTGCTTCTTTCTTCTTATACACCCATTTGCACTCTATTGCTCTCTTCCCCTCGGGAAGCTCCACCAACTCCCATGTCTGGTTCTTATGCAGAGACTCCATCTCCTCCACCATAGCACCCATCCATCTACTTTTCTCTTGACTTTGTACTGCCTCTTGAAAAGTTGTAGGATCCCCGCTACTAGTAATAAGTGCATAAAAAATCAAATCTTCAAAACCATACCTGGTAGGCGGCTTGATATTGCGTTTGGGCCTGTTTGTGGCTATACTGTGATACTGTTGATCACTTGAGATAGAACTCTTTACATGCTGAGCATCCTCTTCTCTACCATGGTTCTCTAGCTCCACCTGCACCACATGCTCATTAGTGCTACAGTTTTCTTGCACTCATTTATCTTCTTCCTGAGTACGTTGCAACATGGCTTTTTCATCAAAAACCACATCTCTACTGATCACCATCTTGTTTGCCTTCGGATCCCAGAGCTTGAAGCCTTTCACCCCTTTCTGATATCCCAGAAAGATACACTGTCTAGACTTCGCATCAAGCTTCGACCTCTCCTCACTAGAAACATGTACATAGGTTGGACATCCAAACACTCTCAAACCAGAGTAGTCTACCTCATTGCATGTCCACACCTTCTCTGATACTTTCCCATCTAGTGCTGCCCTCGATGATCTGTTAATCAAGAAACATGTCATATTCACTGCCTCTGCCCAGAAATTCTTTGCAAGTCCTGCATTCAACCTGAGACACCGAGCTTTCTCGGCTATCGTTCTGTTCATCCTTTCTGCTACACCATTTTGTTGTGGTGTCTTGCGGACTGTGAAGTGTCTCTTGATCCCACGCTACTCACACAACTCCTGGAACTTTGAATCTGTGTACTCAGTACCATTATCTGACCTGAGGCATTTAATCTTCCTCCCTGTCTAGTTCTCTACTTCAGCTTTCCACAACTTGAACTTGGCAAACGCTTCGGACTTGTGCCGCATGAAGTACACCCTGACCTTTCGCGAGTAGTCATCAATGCAACTCACGAAATACATGTATCCTCCCCGTGATACTGCACTAACCGGTCCCCAAACATCTGTATGGACATAGTCGAGAATTTCCTCTGTCTTGCGTGTGGTTGTCTTGAACTGCACCCTGTTCTGTTTTTCAAAAACACAATATTTGCAAAAATTGAGCTTGCATGTCTTGACACCCTTCAATAGATTTTTCTTATGAAGCTCTATCATCCTACGCTCACTCATATGACCCAGCCGCATATGTCACAAGACTGTACTATCTGATTTAGACTCTACAGCAGCAACTCCACCTACAATCGTGGTACCCAGCAGTCTGTAAATGTTTTCTGCTACTTTTTGTCCCTTCATCACTGTCAGCATGCCTTTACTCACTTTCATTACTCCACTTATAGATTTGTAACTATAATCATTACAATCTAAAGTGCCCAATGAAATCAGATTCTTCCTTAGATTCGGTACATGTCTAACATCACACAACATTCTAACCACACCATCAAACATCTTAATTCTAATATTCTCTATTCCAACAACTTTGCAGGATGCATCGTTATCCATCAAAACAGAACCAGAATTTACTGACTTGTAGGTGTCAAACCAATCTTTATTGGGTGTTATGTGATAGGAACATGCTAAATCCATAATCCAGGAATCTATTAGACGATTTGAACTGGATGAAACAGAAAGCATATCACCGTCACCGCTCTTTGAATCTTCTTCTTCCACTA